GATTCTGAACCCGTCGTACCGTGCTGACGTTTTACTTTATCGTGTCAGCAGCTCACTTTTGTTTTCACTGCGACGTGTCGTCTCGTCTATATATAAAGAATTATATCAAAAGGAAAGTGGTCCAGATTGTTTCTGAGGCGCGCGAAGTGGATTTATGGAAGGTGTGTGCTCGAAACGTGAGGCGAACACTCGCCTTGCAGCTCTTTCCGCACAAGCTATACACATAAAAACGATAAAATAAAAATAATAATCATGTCAGCCAATCGAAAAGACTGTATTTTGCTGAGCAGTGGCTATGTATTCAGTCACCAGGGAAGTGCAGGGAAGGAAGGATAATAGTTATTATTTTTTTTTTTAAATTTTCAGTTCAACAAGCAAATGAGGAGCGTTATATGTAGCATTAAATTTATGATTCCCTATAAAATTAAGTAGCAATTAACTAAAAAAATTTTATTCAAAAAATTAATTGAAATTTGTCAAAATTAAATTTATTACTTTTTATCACATTTGGCCTACTTTATCATTATTATCTTTGTCTACATTGAATTTTTGAAATCAATTTATTTAAAAAAAAGGGACTGTTGGATAGTGCAAAACCACCACTAGCAAGAATTTTACTCAAACTTCCAAGGTTCTATTTTTTTAGTTTCATTTTTTTATGCAAATCCATAGCCAGATTTAGTTGACGATTCATTATATTTTTTGGCCAGGGCATGATTAAGAAAAAATTAAGTTTTTATGCAGCCAATGATCACATCAAAGCCCATTTGCTGGCATAGATCTGATCTTGACAGGTAATAAAGTCGGTTTAGACCGCTCCGTTTGAATAGGAGAATTTGGGCCATTGAAAAATAATGCGCTTTTCATTCTCTCAATCCTCCCTCACAATATAATATTATTAAAGTTGGGCGAGAATTTATATTCTGTTAACGGCGAGCCATTGTCTGCTTATCGCGGCATCTAAAGAACCTCTCTCGAGTGAATGTTGCTGCGGACACCACTGGCTTAATGTAGATTAGCGCGCGGCCTTTCAGTTTTTCACATTGTGGGCGTTTAATAGAGCCTGGCACTAGAATCTCGCGACTACAGTGTTTACGACCGTGTTTGCACTTTTGATGCACAAATATATATTATTTTGCTATAAAAATAAATTTGAAGTTAACATTACGAGTTTTTTTTTTAGCTTAAACTGTTAACGAGCTGACACTCGCTTTGAAAGGGCACCGTATGCAAATAACGTCTTAAAATAATTAGACAGGTCGGCGAAGGAAATTGGGTGCCACCGCCGTTATATTGCCGCTGCAATTGACATTCGATACGTCATAAAACCGACAACACGTTTATTTTTTTGCTCGCAAACCGCCTTTCTCACCTTGCCTCTGTTCATAAAACCGAATTATACCCTCGGTACGTTTTTGACGTATATTTTTTCACTTAACCTTGCTCTTTGGCCGCAAAAGACCCTCGGCGGGGGACGCTCTTGTAAATGTCAGACGTTTTTTCCTCAAAACCGGCTCGGTGAAAGGGATGGCTGATGGAAAATTGTGGCTATCGAGTGGATTTCAATGCATAATCTCGGTTGTATGACTCACACGTTTTGCCCAACAGCAAAAGGCACTCGTGAAAATCATCGGTCTCGCCCCTGCACTTTGCTACTCTCGTTCACGCTCCTTTTACAACTTCCTGGCTTGTTGTTGGCCGAGGTTCAATAAAAAAAAAAACAGCCAGTTTATTGCCAGCAACAATGGATTGATTTAAAAGCTCGTGCAAAACGTGCTATGTGGGTGGTTGATGGCTGCACTATATAATTCAATTGATTTCGTAATTCAACCAAAAATTTAAAAAAAAAAATAGAAATTTTAATATTCTTATTAAAATAAAATTAATTTATAATATTTTGTGATTTCACAATTTTATAAATTTTCATAAATACATCTGGTTATTTTCTATTATTTTAAAACAGATTCACTAAATAAAATGGACAAAAAAGCAGATTAATATTCAAATTATAAATTCTTGTGAATTTATTTCTCTTTATTTTAATTTTAAATGGCTTTGAATAAATAAACTATTTATTATATTTTTACGCCCATTTATCCAGACTTACATGAAGAAACACTAATTATGTTCCTTAAAAAATTTAATTTAGTTTTGAATTTTTTCCTTTGAATGGGATCTTGCATACATACTTAATTACTGGAATAAAATTCCATATTCATTTTAAGTTCACGTGAAAAATGCGGCTGACATTTGACAACCGACGGTAATTGCTTGGGAACATAAAATAATTTTGCGTTATTATTTTTTCTTTGAATGAGAGCTGCCGACTTGAAATGTCAAGTGTCGAGTGGCGCCGAATCTGACAAAGGCTTATCAGCATCGACACGCTCTGTGACGGGCATTGTGTAGATATAAAAATTAGAAAGGTCCATTGCGAGCGTCGCCGCGGCTCACATTTGAATAATGGCCGTGCTTGTTATGCGACTCAAGCAAGCAAGTCTCTGGGTGCGGTATGACAAGTGGGTTCGATCAAACCATTCTTGAAGCTCAATGTACACGGAGAGAGAAAAATGAGAAATTTCACAACGTGAGTCGAGTATTATTCGCACTTTTTATTTATTTATTTACTGCTGCTCGATTATTGACAAGCATGTGTGCGGTGGAACATTATTTACATTTTCACTTTGCACTCGAGTTGAATGGGTGCGTGAGTGTAAGCAATTAATTAATATTCCAATCACTTTGGTGCAGCAGCTCTCTATGCAAATTGATTATACGCAGCTGAGAGTGAGTAACTTGCAAATTAGACAACTATTGTGATTTATTACATAGGGCTGCGAAAAGTAAAAGGTTAAAAAAATTTCAATAGATTCAAATTTGAATTGAATTAATAAAATAATATTAAACAATCTTTTTATCAGTATAAGAATAAAATTATATTTTAATTTCATTTGATCAAATTTTGAATAATTTGAAATAAAATATTACAAATTGAATTTTTAATTTAATTTTAAGACTTGCTACAAGTAAAGAAGTTAGCGTTTGTATATACAATTTTGTAAAAAAAAAAAAACAGCTCAATGCAATTTGATCGTTACAAAGAGACGCAATTTTAATTCCGTTTGCATTGGGAAAGGAGCAAGGTCGCGGGAAATGTGCTCATCTTTGGAAGAGTCTCGGCGCGACAAGGCCAATTAATCAGGAGAGAGCGCGTCAAACTCGATGGGGAAACCGAATAAGGAGGATGGCATCTCTTTCTCGAGAGGAGATCGATTGAGTAACACGAAAGTTGCCTCGCGGAGAGTTCAACGAGCGACGCATCAAATAATAATGTAATTCAGGATTGGGTTCGCGACTTCGCGGTACCCCCAGGGCGAAAATTCGCTCGCGAGCCTCGGGCGTTTTTGCGAAGATGATGTGCAACAACTCTCTCGATTTGGCAGCTCCGACTGACTGCCGAGACTATTAGGCTGCACGTTGTGCAAACGATTGCGATTATGTGGAGCGGCGCTCGTCTGCGTCGGCGGCGTGTTTGCTGTCCCGATTTTCGTTCGGTTGTCGTAAAATTATGTAAGGATCTGGTTTCGCATGCTTTTATACACGTGCGTTTAAAAAAAAACTGGTATGTACCGGGGCATTTCACTTATGCAAAAATACAACGCGCAGATTGTAGGCGCGAAGTTGCCGAAGAGAAATTTTGCGAGTGTTGTAATAATTTGGATATTCACTTACCCCAATTTCTAATACACACGTCTTGTTCTTCGCCGCATGGTTCAAACTGAAAAAAAAAATATTTAATCATTAAATTATTGATAATGGAGAGGGCCAATGAATAAATTATTGCACATAAAATTGAAAGTCTAAAATTTCTGTAGGGAAAAATAAGAAAAATATTTCATTTTACATAAAAGCTGGAATATTTATCTGACTAATTAAATTTAAGTCAACCGGTTCATTGAGGACCATTCACAATTTTTACTCAGCTTCTTTGGAATTCAAATAAGCACCAGATTAAATTTCATAAGAGAGTGAAGCATTGATTTATTACACCTCAGACGCCGAAATTAATCGATAAATTAATACGAAACACACGTGGTGTAGTAACACGAGCGAGAACAATAACTTAGTCTAATATAAATTGATTGCCCCGCAGCTCTGGTTTTTTTACACCGCGTAAGAAGAATGGCAAGCTGAATTAAGACAAATGGCCGGATCGATTACCTTTATTGTGTGCGAATGAGGGCGGATCGCGTTACTTTTAATTGAGATTTGTGATTTATTAATTTGGCACGTTTTGATTGAGCTCGGGCAGGTGAGAGGCCAAACGGGCCCCTCGCAGTTTGCCCAAGGACAAGTGGAGCTATTCGTTTTTACTCTACATAAATATACACCCGCTCTTGTACTGCACGAGTACTTTCACTCGCATAGTTCTATGGCGAGCTTTGCATGTTGGACTTATGTAACAGGAGCAACTTTTACAAACACACGCCTCTGTTTCTGAAAAATATACAAGCTGCAGTCAGATATACGAGAGAAAACAAAGTTTCAACGTTGACGAGAGTACTGTAAGGAAGAGAATGTTCTATAAATAGATTTCATTCAGCTAAAAAAGAAACAAAAACGAGTCCTATTGTTAGTCGCGAGTCGTGAGAAATAAATTTTAAAAGGTGAATGTACAATAAAAGCTTTTTAATAATTTAATAATCCGCATAAAAATGAATCACAATAACTATAGTATTATGAGGATTTCTGTCATCAATAATTTTATATTTTTAATTTTAAATCACCACAAAAACTTAATAATTAATACTAAATATATAATTCATCATTTAATATATTATTTTGCATTCTGTCAAGATGCATACTTGCTTTAAAATAAATTTCATCTACTTGAAATTTAAATTTTCATTATAAAATAAAAAATTAATGAAGAATATTTATTATGTAACTGGGAATTTTTAAGTTACACTTAATTAAACTGCTATTTCTTTTATTTCCAGAGGCCCTTTGGCCGCCCTGCTGACCACGTTGGTCACCTGTTCGGCGTTGCAACAATACACGCCGGTCCCCATTGACGAATCCACCTCAGAATGCGCCCTGCTGCTTGAGGGCCCTGGCAGAAGTTCCGTCTTTGACCACAACCTCAACGTTCTCAGGGGAACTTTGTAAGTATACATATACTCAATACGCGTGTCGCTCACGCACTTCTGTGCGGTTTTAATTACCGGTGTCTGTTTCTAGACGTTTGCTAGGAAAAATTTAATTGATTACCGCGTGCGTGCTCTTGGGTGTCTATGCACGAGAAAGTGAAAATTGCGAGATCAGGGCAGGTGTTGGATTTCCTCCGGCAAACATGAAAAGAAATCCGCGAGCATTTCTTTGACATTTTATATAAAAGGCTGTGCGCTATAAGTCGGATCACAACCGATTGTGCAAGAGAAAAAATAATATTTATCCTTTGCTGAGACAATTCTGGAATATTCAATATTTGATCAATTTTCTCAGAAAGTCGAGGTGATCGAGTGAAAAACAAATTATATAACGCAAAGGTCGATTTGTTTATGGTTATTTGCGGTTCTGTCTGTCAGTCATTTCACATTTCCCAATCTCGAAAAATCTTTCAAAACATACCTTTCGTATTTATTCAGAGTGCGCATTCCTTATTTTCACACTAATTGGCGAATGCGAATTCCCGGACGGTTGAATCACACAGCGACAATTAAGGAGAAAACAGCTGCACCTTCTCTCTCTCTCTCTCTCTGAATGGACCCGCGTGCGAGAGAGAAAGATAAATCATTGCGAACTAACAACAATCACATGCGCTGAATAGTCCAAATAAAACTCACAATGAGTGATCGGCTGCCTTGAACTGCGAGTGGGCCAACGGTGCCAATGTCGGGCCAGAAATTTGGAGCAATCGACAATCGGTATCTTTGAGAATAAACTGAATTAATTAGGACAGTATTTTTCATAATATTGCTACAAGATTTCCTTGTTAGTTTGTTTTTGTAATATTTGTTGTTCTTTAAATTCCACTCCTTTGATTCATTGATTAAGCAAAGACATCAACATTGTTTGGTTTTGTTACAAAAATTATAAATTTCTGACGTAGATACATTTTATTTCCATTTATAAAACAGGATATGGGGATAGCATGATTAATAAAAAAAAAAAAATATCAATAAAATAAATACAAAAAAAAGTAATCAAAAGAAAGGCATAATGATTAAAGGGCAATTTTTGTAAAGCAGATTATTCTTTTCATTAAATTTGCCAAGTTTTCTGTCACTTATGTAAAATCCAAAATTTTTTTAGCCAGAGAAAGTAATCAGAAACTCTACAGAAATTTAAGCAATGTCACAATGGCTTGTCAAATGAGCCAGTTTGTATCAGAAATTGAATATCTTTATTGCGAAGGGGCCAAAAATTTGAATGTAATCTAAAAAGCTTTCCAACCTTTTCTTAAATTTAGAATTAGTGCTCTATTTCCTCCGTCGTTCAATGGCAAGATAATCAAAAACCATACATCAACCGGCTTCATTTCGCCTTGTGCTTCTTACGTTTAAAAACGATCCAATCAAATTTCATAAGAGGTCGCGTAACCTCAAATTGTTCATTGTTTGCAAACACGTCAATGTGCGCACCGCAGGAGCAATCTCATTTTTTCTTTTCTTCAACACGCGTTGCCGCGAGGGACGCGAACGTTTTGCTGATGAATTGCGCGTAACAAAAGCGATAGTTCGCACGCAGCGCCCACTTTTCATTTCAAGTGTCGCCGGCAGCCAAATCCGCCCGCGTCCAATTCAAGACCGTGATTTTTTCTTCAGAATTAATTCATTGTGCGCAGGCACAGACACAAAGACGGCGAGGAATTTGACATAGCAAATTCAAGGACGGCGTGAAAGTTGCGAACAATAAGAGTGCGCACCGACCTTTCGCGTGACGAGCGCGCTCGCGAGAGTTGCCGCTCGTAATTAGCCGGCGAATTTTGAAGCTTTAGAAACGGAAATCTTGCATTTTCTGGCACCTCTCGGTGCACTTGAAGGGTTTGCTCGTCACATCAGTTTCGCTTGGATCGTGCGCGGAATTAATTTTTGACCCTTTTGCTCCTTTTGCCAACGTGACTTTCTCATTTTCTTTGCGCTCCTTAATGTGAAACTGCGAGAAAAGCACAAATTTTGTGCCAAACATGTCAAGAATGAGTTCCCATTAAGTTCATGTCAAAAAGACGCCGTTTTTTCCCTGAAGTTAAAATCTATGACATAAAAATAATTGGATATAGTAGATTAAAAATTAATACAAAAATGCATATAATTTAGTCTCGATCTTATAAAACTTTAATTTAAAAAATTATTATTTTAATATGTACAATTTATAATATTCATTTTTATTACTTTTCAGTGGATATGATGGTCGTCACACTTGCATCACCTATGACGCTGTCAACCAGGCGTATATCCAGTCAAGGAAAAGAATTGGTAAGTTTGTAAATGTCAGCAAAATTTGGGTTTAATTTGAGCGTAATTTTTTTTTGGAAAACCTATGAAATATTTTCAAAATTTTTTGTTTCTACATAAATGTATTAAATAAATTATGAAACCCTCTTTACAATTTATTTTGATTAGAAAGTAAAATCCCAATAAAAATTAACAGCATTTTAATGTTACTAAAGACATTAAAATGTATCTTAATCTTTAGGAAATTAAAACATTTTGTCGCAGTTATTTTGATAAAAATCCTCCACGCCATCAGATAGTAAAATTAAATAATCACTCAATTAAATTACTTTACTGCTCTTTCACACACATGAGCAGCTAGGGTAGCAATTAACTAATATTATCTTGAGCAAAAAATCTAGGTTCCATAGTTTGAAGAAAGCAAAGGTGCGAACTCACTCAGTGAGCGAGAGTGAAAATTGTCGCAATTAAAGTTGTAATTGCATGACGCCTAAAGCTAAATTATATTCATTCATTTCTCTCCGCCTCGTGGGAATTCTAAATCTGGGAAAATTACTTTCGCTTCCCTCTTGAGAATAGAAATCCTTCCTTCCTAGTTTACTTCAAAAATCGCTACTTTTATACTAGTCACAAACGAAATTTTAATGACATCAACAATTGTATGTTTTCAGCCGTGTCTCAACCCAAGGTGGGCGACTGGCGTACCGAAGACATCGCCACCGTCGGCGAGTTGCTGCTCGACATTTCCATCACTCTGGCCAAAACGTGAGACCATTTTTTTTATTCATTTTTCGCTTAAAAGAAAAAAAAACTCCACCGTACTCTCTTTTACCTTGTCCCAGTAACAGTCGCACATACGTTAATTGACGCCAGTTTTGCAAGTAGTGCCTATCAGCATGCAAATTTGCGCTCGGCACGCGATCCTCTCCAATTTTTTAGCTTCTTTACGAAAGAAAGAAAGCAACAGGTGCTGCGCCACTTTGACTCGCGCCTCTTAATTTGCGAAAGTACGTCGATTCGTGAGCTAAAGTGGAATTTCGGATTCAGGTACGGCCTCAGCTACGAAGATATCGAGAAGGGTCTGCCCCTGGTCGACACCTCCAAGACCCTGATCCGCGAGGTTTGCCCTCCTTTCCTTGCCAATGTCGAGTGCAGGGCCGGCAAGTACCGCCGATACGACGGTCTTTGCACCAACCTGCAGCATCCCACCTGGGGAGCCACCATGACCCCCTTCACCAGGTCAGTTTCAAAACGCAATAAAAAACCTATTTATACAAAATTTAATTACCCAGAGTCAATTTACAAATTTGAATAATTTTTTAAAGTAAAATAAAATTTATATATTTAATAATATTAAATTATTTCCTTTAACAGAAAATTGTAAGAGCTGATAACTTCTTAATTTTTCATCAAAAAAATTATCCTCTTCACCCCGTAATTTAAACTGCAATTAACGTTTTAATGTAAAATTCTCATATTATTAGATTGATCGGTCCCCTGTACGCTGACGGCATTTCTGCCCCCCGTATCTCGGTCACTGGTCGCCAGTTGCCTCTTCCTCGTATCGTTTCCCGCACTGTCCACCCTGACGAAGGTTTCCACGATCACGCCGGCACCGTCATGGTCGTCGCCTGGGGTCAGTTCATGGATCACGACTACACCCTCACCGCCACCCCTCTTGGTAAGAAATAATTTATTTTGTAAATTTCGCTTGCTACTTTCAAATGTTTGCAATGGAAATGCGTTTTGTAAATATGAGTAGAAAGGCAAGTTTGCGATAATGGGATTCAGCAGAAAAGCTCAGCACGAGCAAATTAAGCAGAGAGGAGAGTGAAAGGATGCAGCTCTGAATTGCAGAAGCAAAGAGACAAGCAAGTGCTGAGAATTGCCGATTGTTTGCTCTCACGACACTCAATAGTAGGAAACGGCGGCGGAAAGATGGAGTGGCCTGCATCAGCCTTGGTTCATTTTAATTAGCATCCCATGCTATTGTTACTGTCGGGAAACGAATAATCCCGGAAGCTAGGATTGGTTATTTAATTGGTAATCATTTTGGTTGGGGTAAATAGAATTAATAGACACAATTTTTACTTACTTTCAAAGGTTTGATGTAATTATTTGGCCTTTTTCTTTGCACATATTACAAAACGCAACTGTGTCACTTGGCTACTCATAAACGACTCTCCTTTCAATCTTGCTGCTCTGTCACCTGATGCCCTGTCTGTCTCTCAGCTTCGGCCACGAATGGTGCAGCAAGCACCATCAGTGGCCGCTCGAGGAAGTGCCGAGTTTACCCCGACACCTCCCCGGCTGAGAGGAGACAAGATCATCGGTGACATGAGGACAACAATTTAATTTTAAAGATACACATTTTCAATAGAACACATAAATTGAAAGATACATTTTCAATTGAGCAAAACTTAAAATTAAAGATGCATTTTCAATTGAGCACAACGTAAAATTAAAGATACATTTTTCAATTGAGCACAGGAGGGTATTTGTGTCGAATTAATTTGAGAAGTTAATTTTAGTTGTACAATTTAATTGTTTTTGAAATTAAAATTTTAATTGTCGAATTCTTGGGGTGCGTTGCGCAAGAAATAGGAGTTGTTTCTCAGCAGTTTTCTCTACTTCCGCTGCTACCCAGGGCAGGCATTGCTTAAATGGGGTGGACAAGGTCCCATAGCAAACTGGCGTTTCCCCCCCGGGACAACAGAAGCAGATATACCTACGAGTTGGAGTTGCATTGTTTTTTTTTTTGTAGTGGAGGGATGAAATGTGGTTTTTTAGAACCATAATTGAGAAGGACTGAACTCCAATTTTTTGCGCAAAGCAATGATTTGAGCGAGTTGAAAATAAATTTGTTTCATGCATTTGTTTGTGTTGTGTTACATTTTAATTTTTTGATTTGCCGAAAGTACAGTTTGTTCGTGAATTTTGATTGATGGTTTTGTGTTTTATTGTGTATTGTGTGATTGTTTTAATCTTAAAATATAATGTGTCTAAATCTAAAAAAGGGATTTAAAGTGCTCATAACCCTCAGACATATTAAGACGTTTAATTTAGGGGGAGCTCAGAGGGAGCCGTGGGCGCATAAGGCGCTATTGAGGCTGAAAATTAGATTTTTTTATTTTATTAAATGCACGCCAGTGCGGTATTGCGTGCGGCATCTCTGTCGAAGGGTCACAGTCATACAACGTCATTGGCAATTGGCAAAATTCTGTAATGAAAATTCGATTAGCAACAACGTATTTTTTTCTTGGGGAAATTTTGGATAAGGAAGAATTTTTTTTTCTAAACCTAAATTTGCTACTCCCGGGACTATAATGGTAACGGCGGAGAACATCAGTTACAAGTTTGTTTTTGTTTTTGTTTTTCTAAATCATTTGATTGCATGGGAGTTTTTGTTTTTTGTGTTCCTTTAATTTTTTTTTTTCTAGGATTGATTTGTAACTGATTTTATTATTGAAAATTGACTGATTAATTCTCAGGCGCAGCAATAAAATTCCCACTATTCTAATTGGAAATAAATTCAGCTTTTATTTTCTTCTTGCATTCTCGTGAGGAGAAGGTGGTGGTCGATCAGTGGCACAAAACGGCCACGGCAAGCGCGCATCGGAGGCGCTGGAAGCTTGAGTGGAGCAGTAATCATTTTTCAGTGTGTCATTCATTAAGATCGCGGTTGTTGTTTGTTGTGAAATTGGAAGTGCACTTGTCTCACGTAAGCGTGGAGATGGCTTATCGGTGGCCGTAGACGCGTAAGAGTCATTTTTATTGCGGAGGTCAATGAGATGTGCACTTGGAGTCAAAATTTTGGGGGTTTTGTTGGCGGAGGGGGGAGGCCTATCGGTCGCCTCAAAGAAGCGCGGTATTGTGCGCTGCGGAGTTTCATTTGTGAGAGGATCATTCAGGTGGTCAAATTTTGGGATGGAAGTTTGGGAAATGTTGATAGGAGGTGAAACACAATTTAGGGCTGTATTGGCTGGAGATACATGGCAATGTTCAGCTGCCAGGGGTCCAGATTGATGCCCAAAAATTGATCGGTTGATTTTTGGTGATTTAGGGTATTGGTATTGGGTGGTTGCGTTCGAACGGTTAACCGTACGGCGAGGAGTTTGTGACGGAGATACCAGACATTTTTGGCCAAATTGAGGTGTCTGGGGTCCGGATTTTAAACTCGTCGCAGCGGGGTTTACAGCATCATCGGCAAGGAGAGGGGTAGGAGAAGGGGATGGGGATAGGTAGAGTGATTTTTTACCCACAGAATCGTCAGGGGTAAGAAAAGAGGGTGTGACGGGTTGAGGTGACGTCATGATCGGAGAGGGTTGAAGATAACTACATCATGGGGCGGGGGGGTGGGCTGTTAGTTGGGCGCCATTTGTCGGGAAACGAATAATCCCGGAAGCTAGGATTGGTTATTTAATTGGTAATCATTTTGGTTGGGGTAAATAGAATTAATAGACACAATTTTTACTTACTTTCAAAGGTTTGATGTAATTATTTGGCCTTTTTCTTTGCACATATTACAAAACGCAACTGTGTCACTTGGCTACTCATAAACGACTCTCCTTTCAATCTTGCTGCTCTGTCACCTGATGCCCTGTCTGTCTCTCAGCTTCGGCCACGAATGGTGCAGCAAGCACCATCAGTGGCCGCTCGAGGAAGTGCCGAGTTTACCCCGACATTACAAATAACAATTCTGCCTTTCTAATTTTTCATCTGCAAGAGCATTCCACAAAATGTCATCCAGATGGTTAAATCAAAAGCTTTTCTTTATTATTCTTTTACGATGTCCTCATTTCTTGAATTCATCGATTGCATTTTAAGTAAAATTTGGAGGAAATATTTCTTACATAAAACATTTAAAAAAAGTTGCTATTTTTTAATGTAAAATAAAATATAACTAATTGCAATTAATAAAAAAAATTAATATTTTTTATTGTTAAAATTTTCAGACCCTCTGAACCGTAACGAGCCCGAGGAGTGCTGCCACAGACCCCCTCATCTCAAGAATCCCTACTGTTTGGAAATCGAAATCCCCGGCAACGACTACTTCTACGGCCACTACAACGTCAAGTGCCAGGACTTTGTCCGTGGTTTCGTCGCCGTCCGACCCGGCTGCAGACTGGGCTCCAGGACGCAGTTCAACACCCTGACCGGCGTCCTGGACGGCAACACCGTCTACGGCGTCAGCGAGCACTTCTCCCGCGGTCTACGCGCAGGCTATGGCGGTCTCCTCAGAATGAACCCCGTCTTCAACGAGTACGGTCTCAAGGACCTGTTGCCCCTCAAGCTGGACATCCCTGACGAGGGCTGCCTCCGTCCCAACAAGTCTATGTACTGCTTCGAAGCTGGTGCGTGACAATTAACAATAAAAAAATAATAAATAAATAAATATAAATAAATAATATGAATATAATAATTTCCCAGGTGAGATCCGTGTCAACGAACAGCTCGTCCTGACTTGCATGCACACCCTTATGGCCCGTGAACACAACCGTCTTGCCCAGGGTCTGGCTCAGGTCAACCCTCATTGGGACGATGAAACCGTTTACCAGGTAATTCCAATAAAAAAAAATGAAATTTAATAATATAAAAATTAAAATAAAGCCTTTTTTCATTCATAACAAACTTAAAAAACTAAAAAACAAAGTTTTAAGTTCAATTATTTTTATGTAAAATTGCAATTTATTGTCGTCACTAATTTTGAGAATTTTAATTATCAATTAACAGGAAGCCCGTCGCATCAACATCGCCACCATCCAGCACGTCACCTACAATGAGTTCCTGCCTATCATCCTCGGCAAGGAGGTGATGGAGAAGTTTGGTCTGCTCCTCGAGAAGGAGGGCTACTGGGACGGTTATGACCCCAATGTCAATCCCAACGTCATTGACGCTTTCTCCGCCGCCGCTTTCCGTTTCGGACACTCCCTCCTGCCCACCGCCGTCGAAAGATGGAGCAAGGCGCATAAATTCATCGGTAAATTAATTCGCTAATTATCAAAGACAAATACTTAATATTAAAAAATTTCAGCGTCCAAACGTCTTTCCGACTTGATCCGTCAGCCCTACGACTTGTACCGTGCCGGTGTCCTGGACGAGTACTTCATGGGTCTGATGAACCAGGTGGCTCAGGCCATGGACGACTCCGTCACTCAGGAGGTTACCAACATGTTGTTCAAGAAGCCCGGCCAGCGATTCGGTATGGATTTGGCCTCTTTCAACATGCAGCGTGGTCGTGAATTCGGTCTCCCTGGCTACATGGAGTTCAGGTAACAAATATGACAGTTAATTTATAGAAAATAGATATTAAAAAACTATTTTTAATATGCAAGATATTTAAAGAAGCCAATTTTCTTAAAATTTCTTACAATGAGTACTGAAATTTATTGATTTGATTTTTATTCCCTTGCATTTTTTGTTTGGTGTTTTATAATAAATTAAATTTTTGAATAATTTATGTAAAATATAACAAACTTAAATCCTGAACTTTTGTTCTTTAATCACAGGAAATTCTGCGGACTTCCTGGCGCCGATACCTTTGAGGAGCTCTTCGGCTCCATGAGCAACGAGACCATCGCCCGCTACTCTAGCATTTACGAGTCGCCCGCCGACGTTGACCTTTGGTCTGGCGGTGTGTCCGAAAGACCCCTTCCTGGCAGCATGGTTGGTCCTACTTTCGCCTGCATCATCGCCACTCAGTACAGCTACTCGCGCAGAGGCGACAGATTCTGGTTCGAGCTGCCCAACCAGCCCTCTTCCTTCACTCCTGGTAATATCAAACTCTCCTCTTTCTTTTTAATATTTACTAAAATTTTCCAAAACTATGTTCACAGAGCAACTGCAAGAAATCAGGAAAACTCGTCTTGCCCGTCTCATCTGCGATAACACTGACTTGATCGACACCGTTCAAGTTTACCCCATGGTGCTGCCTGATCACGAAATGTAAGTAACCTTTTAATTCTAACAAACGAGGAAATACGGCAGGCAACTTGCTCGTCACTTGTGTATTGGAAGTTGCATAAGTATGGTTTTTTTAACTCTTACTTTTAAATCTATTTATAGAATTTTCAAAAAAAAAATTAACTAATGAACCACTTTTTAATTATTTTAATATTATTCCAGCTTAAATTTACAATTATTCTAGAAAGAATAAAAATTAATTAATTAAAAAAATTTGCAGCAACCCTCGTGTGCCTTGCCGCAGCGGAGTTTTGCCTTCACTCGACTTCAGCAAGTGGGCCGAGTTCCCTGGCACCGGCAACCTGGTGCACGCTGCCTCTGCTCCCATCGCCGCCGAGCACAGCGCACCCTCGATAGTGAGTAGCGACCTGCCCACCGGGTTCGCCCCCTCCGGCTTCGACGGCTACTCCTTCCTCGGGAAATAAGCATCAAACGCACTAACCACACAAAACGAGTTGACATGTTAAGAAAAAATTAATCGTTTTCGCATACCCTCATCTTTAAATAATGCCATCGCTTCATTTTAGTTTTATGGCTTACGATTTTAAGTTCGTTTTCTTTATGTATATTTATTTGCTAGGGACGCGGCCCCTGAACCAAAAGGGGGGCGCGCTATGAAAATGGAAAAAGCGTTGCTGTTGTTACCTTCACAAAATCGGATGTTTTTTTCTGTGGCAAAGTTACCACGTCCATTTAGGACATGTGAGGGCAGAAAAATGAACTATTATTGCCATAATAAGAAGTTGGTTTTGTTTTGCTCAAAGTACCAATTTTTTAAATCAACGCGACACCGATATTGAGTTAATTTTTTATCATTACCGTTATTACTTTAGATGATTTAAATAAGAAGTTAGTTCAAAAATATATTGTGGGATTAAATGACGAATTTTGTTAAAGCTGTGGGCGCAACATAAAAGAGGTTAGAAATTTTTGAGAAATATAGTTAATTATTAAAGAGTAATTAAGCGAAGAAAATTATTTTTAGACACAAAAAATTGACGAGATTTTAAGGGGTTTTTTTTTGTAGGCGGAAGCCAAAACCGTTTGAAATAATTTGTTGTCAATTTTGGTCTTAAAATTTTGCCCTTCACTTTTTTTTGCTATCACCTCATTGAAAGTAGAAAAACTTTTGCGCTTAGTGATTCAAAAATAATGTGCAAATATACAATCTTTAAAACAATCGCGGGCAAAATCTACAAACCTTGTTCCACTCAAAAATGACGCGCGGATTTTTACTTTTCCATCCACCCTTCCCACACATTGACCTCTGACCTGAGACTTTGGCTGACGCTTGACTGGTCTTTTTAACAGGAGGCTGAGGAGTTCGCCCACAAAGTGGTCGCGCCGCTGCTGCACTCGACCAAAATTTTCAAGCGAGGAACAGCCAACGGAACAGTGGAAGCCTAGACTGCTCGAGATTGATGGACTAATCAATCTCTCAGAAATAATTGAAAGAAAGAAATAACCCGAGACTCACTGACTACAACCAAATCAACTGCATGTACTATAACTAACCATGAGCGCGCGATTGACCTGCTGCACCCATCTGTGACTGGTGCTAGCAAAAGAATAATTCAGTTCGCGCCAACCGCATCAATCAAATAGCGTCACTTTGCTCATCTTCTCATTAACAGTTGTGCTATTATGATAATTGTGCTATGACAAAAGGAAATCTGCGAATTGTCGTTTTGTTTAGGAGTGGGTCAAGTTTTATTTTTATGCTTGGGGGGAAACGCAGAATCAAAATTATGATTAAAATTTGCCCCTCCCTCAAAGTGGTGGAACTGTGTTGTATTATGTTTTTTTTTTTGCGAGGGACCGCGCACTTTGAACAGAGGGCGATGGAAGATGTTCTGTTTTGTTGATGATCTTAGTGTGAATCGCCCCATGTACAAGAAGTGCGCCGCCTCCCGAAACAATGTGCGACACCACAATTGAGAAGTTTTGTTTATGAGATTTGTATACGCATAAATGATAATAAATACACAATGTACATAAAGAAAAGATTGCAACGTTTTTTAATAAAACAAATTCATAGACCAAACCCCATAGGAATAAAAATGAAGATTAATAAAAAAAATCTGAATTTCTGATAAAAATCAAATTTTATATTCTGATAAATTTTTCTTGCATGAGTTTCCAATGCAATAAATTTAATCACGAAAAAATTATATGATATAAACATTCTTATTTATTGATATAATGCCATAGGCGTGCCAGGCGTGCAAACAAGCTTAAAAGGGATAATACTAAAAACTGAGTTTTTAAAGTGATTTGAATTTAAAATCGGCTTTATCTTGACGGGTTTTGAGAGTTGTTTATTGTTTAAGAAAAAACAATATCCTGATCTATTTTGGCTGCGGGCTGTAGCCATAATTCAAGAGCTGTGAAATCATTTTGACAAGAATTAGTGTACAAAAATCAATCTTTAAATTTTTTTTTTAAATTGACACTTTTTTGTGAAAAATTATTCAAAAACAAAATTCAGAAAGAATTATACAAAGAAAAATATTTTTAAAAGATTAATTTTTTTACTAATTCTTGTCAAAATGATTTCTTAGCTCATGAATATGGCTGCAGCCCGCAGCCGAAACATGTAGAACAGGATATTGTTTTTTCTTAAACAATAAACAACCCACAAAACCCATCGAGGAAAAGCCGATTTTAAATTCAAATTAAAATCACTTTGAACCAACCCTCGATCGTGAAATTCTACCTAAAAGTTTCAAATATTGTTAAAGTATTATTTAAAAATACCTCATTTAACTAAATTTGCAACCATTTGCAACTAAATTCAAAATTTCATGACCAAGAGGATCCAATATAAATTTCAAAAATTTGTTCTCCGTGAAATCGGCGGTTTCAGTCTTTTTTTCTCCAGCACACCCCCATGAAAAATGAGGTCAACGCAGCAGCCGCAGCCGCCGGTCTTGGATTTGTATAAAATTACATAAAAGTGTTTAGGCCGGGCGCGAGTCAATATTTATTCGAGTTGCCAATCATTACGTCACACCGACGAGCATCTCTACGTGTGGAGCGTGGTTTGTGTGTGGCGCGCGAGTGGCGGGCCTTTGCTCAGTGCAGTGGCGGAGCCGCTCGTCGAGTGTGTCGCGCAATCCAACCCCCTGGCTGGACGGACGGTGCGAAGTGTGATAAAAAGAGAAAGCATGTCGCGTTGTGCCTTGTGTCGCGTCGCGTTATGACCGTGCTCACCACAGGTAATTCCGCGCCCGCATTCAATGAATCGATTGACACACACACACACACATACAACTATTAGCTAATTGAACGACGGCCAAAATATTTCTCGGCAAGCGCCGGTTGCAAAGAAAATAGCTCGGGCCTATCAGCACCCCTTTGAATTGCTCGCCGCTGTTGCAATGCAATTCGAAAATTCAAAACATTATTTGAATAAATCGAATTTTTCTCTCAAGTATCAATAATTAATTTTTTGTTTCATAATTAATATTTTTTTATTGGAAAAAAATTGCAAAAAATTAATCCTTTTGCATTGCTGATTTTACGGATTTCCGTTTCCGAGCAGGGTTTTGCGGTCATATTGGAGGTTAAACGCCACTCTCAGTCAGAGCTAGTCATGTGTTGGAGAGGCGTAGAGTCGCGCCTATTTTTAGCCCCCCGAGATGATTTTGGCCTCGGCACGCTAGCACTGCACACACATAGCTGCTTTTTATACACATTCGCAACCCAGGTGCGAGACTCCCCTCATAATTAGCCGCCGAGTTCCCCTTCGGCAGGTCGATTCAGTTTGATCAAAACCCTAAATATTGCCAAGGACATTCCGTCGTCATATCTCATCGCGCCGAGAATAGAAGAGAAAAACAATCAAGTTGATTCGCGTTTTTTTTTATACCTAATTCATCGGGACGTTTGTTTGACCTCGACGTCCTCTTCTTACACGGGCGGATTAAAGAAAAATACACTCGGTCTCTTCTTGAGAAGCAAAGTAATAATTGCATAACCACTTGCTTGTCACTTATCCAACGGCTAACGAAACTCAATTTGATTCTCTTAACGAACAATGCTTTTTAGAAAAATACACGTGCTCGTCAATCAGCCGTCGCTGGCAGAACATTTTCAAAAATAATTATGATGCAAACCTCTGTAGAATGCGTGGTACGATGCATACCTGGCTACGGGCAAAAATAGATTCACATAGCTTCTGTAGTCCTTTTGATTTTAAAAAGTGTGAGGAAACAAAATCATCAACAATAGAGATTACTTAATTTTTATTATTTTACTTCACTAGTATTTCAAAACTTATATAATGTAATATTATATTATGTAAAATTTTATTTCTTACTGGCAAAAATGAATTAGAACTATTATACAGACTTAATAAAAATTAAGTTTGTAATTTGTTGCAATATTTAAATTAAAAAAAGGAAAATGTATGAACTAGTATTTTTCATAACAAAAGTTATTTTCTAAAAGCAATAAAAGCTTTTGGATTTATAATATTTTATTTTATCTTATTAATCTGCATTAAACAAAGTGAAAAGAAGATCAAACAATAAAATTATTTTTGAACCAAACGTACATTAAAATTATTATGCAAGTTTCAGCGGAACAACTAACTAACTAACGCGCCGTTTTGACCGTGTGTGCTGTTCTTAGTGGTGACGCGATCATAGATCCCTAACTTGTCCCGCGTGCCTGCCTGCCAAGTAGGTTTTTGATACGCCGTGCTCGTGATTCAAGTCAACATCTATCAGTGCAAAGACGCCTCGCGAGGAAACCCCGTCTCAGCCCGACACTCTTAAGTGCTCCCTTCGTTTTTCCAAAGCAAAAACGGCATCGCCCCGTGAAATCTTGTACTCGATCAATGTTCCCGTCAAGTTGATGCTTCCAGTTATCGCTGGCGTAAGGGCAGCGCAACTAATCTATTCGTACTGGACCTCTCCGGCAAATGGTACGTGCCCCGGCCAGTTTTTTTTTTTTTATTTTTATATTTTTCGGTTGGTTTAATAATTTGAGCGCGAGTTTTTGTTGTACACACGTCTTTTGTTTTTGTGTGATTTTCTCTATAGTGTAGAGCAGGTAGTATATAGATAGTTTCACAAGTTTCATTGATTAGTCTGATACTATATTACTGTATTTAATGGCTTCAGTCTGAAATTAAAACAAATTTAATTTTCATTAAGATACGATGAATAATTATTTTGGCTTCTATTATAATTCTCTTGTAGTTTTATATAGAGGGACGTGTTAAGGGCAAAATTAATTATGGAAGATTATATTATCAATAAATACAATTAGATTTAGTTAGAAATAAGCATGGTAATAGAATAAACTGATTTATAATGTATTATAAAGCGTTATACAATTAAAAACTGCTTTCAATCTACCTGTCATCAAAAACCTTCAAATGCAGTTTTTCTGTAAAAATATTTATTTACTCCGTTAACTCTGCACTAAATTTGTTTACGAGATCACTGGTGAAAAACTTACTCCACAATGAACTCAAATTCAGAATGAATTCCTATGATAATAGTTTTTTAGGTTTTGTATTCTCAATTTAATTAAACTAAACCTAAACCCTAGAAGATAGCTCATAGAATAGCGGTATGAGGTCGGTTAAAATAGTATAGCCGCTTACCAACGTAAAGTAAATAATTCAGATTCACCTCACCTTTATTCTAAAAATCGGTCTTACATAATATAGGCTTCAAGTGATTTCCTGTTTTTTTTCCATGTTTTTATAGATAAAATATAGTTTTATGCACATGCTATGAACATAAAATCTAAAATTAATGCTGCTTACAAATAATTATTGAAGTGAGGTAGATAATTAGTTTCTTCTATAAAGTAGTTATATCTTAAAAATTAATTTAGAAAAATCATAACATGCAATCAAACAGTTACTTATTGATACTCACGCCCTAACCATTATTTTCGTCGCACATTATTCAGTGTCATCAGTATAGACGGTTAAAAAGAATAATGTGTATTTAATTTTTGTTAATTAATAATTAAATTATAAGCTTAAGCATTATCCAACACGAAATTTGACAATGAAAATATTAATTGATTCATTTTATTTACTTTCATTAGGAATAAAATAAATGTAAAATTTATTAAAATTTAAAAGAATTTGTTTCATTTATGAAAATACTAAAATATAGTCCTCGGCTAAGAAAATAAGCGGGCGATAAAAAAAATCATCATAATAAATACAAACATAAAATTGATCTTATGTATTACAATATTCAATATTGATAATTGATTTTCCAGAAATTAAATTGAATCAAGCATCAAATAGAATTATAAAACTCACTAGTTTATTTTATTGAGAAATCTCTGCCGTCTCGGCCGGTCTTGGGGTGTCAGCTGGTCGCGGTGGGTTTTAAGATTCATAGCAAATTTTTTAATTATTAAATCCTTTCGATTGAAATACATTTTCATTTTCATTTTAATTTAATTTATTATCAAGTCAATTTAATACACATCTATTGCAATAATAGTTTTAGTATATAATGTTTATTTAGTGTAAACTTATTTAATTTTGCTTACATTAATTAATTTTATTGACACTGAATGCATAATATGAACTTTAAAAGCAAGAAAATAAATTAATTTTAGATTCTATATTTTTAGGACGCTAGGAAATGATCATGTTTTGAAAAATAGCAAAAAAAATATTCCATGATGACTTTGCAATGATTTGATTTTCAGAGGGAGAGGCGGTGAGTTCCGAGGAAGGAGGAGGGACGTCCGAGGGTGCACCCGTGCTGCACGTGGACTCGCCAGTGTGCCAAGTCCAAGAGGGTGAGACCGCAACCCTAGCGATTCAAGTGACCGGCGGCCGGCCGATCGAACTCTGCTGGTAAGTTCTGCAACTACGAGAAGGGCGACGAGTTTCGTCACGAGACTTTTGGCAAATTTCCCGCGCGTGCATTTCACTACTGGGCAGAAAGAGCAGGCGGGTTTCTTGGAACTATAGCATTGTTTGTACTGCCACACCGCATGCCGACTCAAGAAAGAAAGAAAACTGTCGGTCGGTGCTCGTTAAACCAACTGCTTTGTGCTTTCACGCTTATTTTGAGAGAAGAAGCGATAGAGCCACTAAAAACCTTAATTGATGATCTCAATTGAAATGACTCAAATAAGAATCAGGAACGTCAGAAAAGAACGTTTTACTTTTGTTTGTTTTTCTTTCACGCTAGAAAAAAAAATGATATTGTTTTTAATTTTAAAATATAAAACCAAGTATTAAATTTTGTAAAGATGTAAATCTAATTCGTTAATTTTCCAAATTAAACTTCAACAAATTTTTTTAAATGTTCTTCTCAACTACTCTATACCAATAAAAAAAGACAACTTTTTTATTAATTACAAACGAAAGAGAAATAATTAATATTATGGTTTATGTTAATTTTCGATTTTATGTTAAATCTAAGATCTAATAATCCTCATTATTATAATTGAATCCTCATCAATGATGGAGATTATCATTCAAATTATAAATAATTAATTAATAAGCTATTTTGGTGCAACGTAACTTATAAACATGTCACATGTACTATTTTCATCCAGATTTACTCCCACAATTCTCAACTGAAACCCAACAAGCTTTACACTTTTGGTACACCTGGTAGTCTGACTGAGATAAATATGCAATAGATTACGGATTCTTGGCACTGACTGTTGACTAGATTATGAAATTTGCTCTTTTTGCTATTAGTAAATTTTAAATTTCCCTTGAAGTTGAGTGTAAAAATATTAAAAAAAAATCACTTCTCAGTATAGAAATTTAAGAACACCTGAGATTTGGTTTGTCATCGAGACAGATCAAGCGAATAACAAAGCGCGCCAACGGTTTGACCTTTTTCTCGATCTGGCTGTTGTGCAAGCGAGCATTCATGTCAACAGAAACACCGGTTGGCCCTCTCAGTTTCAGATGCTCTATCAACCATTCTCAGCATCAGCAAATCTTTGTTGCTCCAATTACACTCTCTTAGTTATAATTGTCAGAAAATCAGCAAAATTCAATTCAGCCTTCTTAGGCTAAATAATCGAAAATAAAAAACGCTTAAAAATCATCAAATGTGCCAAAAATTTTAAGGAAGATTTATAAAAATAAAATAATCTAATATTAGGCTGGGATAAATTTACACCGTCTATTGAAAGATAAAACTTGAACTGAGATAAGATTTTATGAGAGTGAATTCAGCAGATATATTTTCTCGTGCGTCATTGACGTCCTAGTTTTTTTCTTTTATTTCTTTTTATATCTTTTCGAAGCTTTCTTTTTTAGTTTATTACATAATCCGTTACTTTCGGTGAAACTTGGGTAAAAAGTGTCCAAGGGGGCAAGACGTGGGTTTGACTGGAGCGATAACCAACTAAGTGGCTTCCACTGTATTATATATTTTATTTTGAGTGTCGTGTGTGCGCGAGAGGAGAAATGGCGGCGCCGAGATTCGCTGGTCCGCGTCGGACGCGCGCTCGGGACGAAACAAAGTAGGTCCGAAAGAGTGCTGCCTCACTTCGGGCACGGGCCCAGCTCGAAGCGAGCGGAAAGGCACCGAAAATACCTCCGAGGGACAAGCAGTGAGTGAGGAAGTCAGTCGGGGACGTTTCGGCCGGCCGCAGGACACGCAGCTTTTTTTGCATTTCGGGCAGCAGCGAGCGGAAAAGTGGGAAAGGAGAACATGCCGCGTGCGGATTTCGAGTGAACAACAAGGACAGAATTTCTGTCTGCCAGTGACGAGCCCCTCAGGGGGGCATGGGGAGCAACTGCTGTAAAGGAGACGCGGCCACAAAATCCAACACCAAACGGTGAGAGCGGCGTCGCCAATTTTGACTTGGCTAATTGACCGTGCATTTCGTTTCCTCCGCAAACATCGGCCCCACGAGTTTCATTAAATTACACAAATTTATTAGTGAGAACATTCTGGAACCTGACGAATTGGATTAGAGAAGAAATGTAAAAAAATCCTGAACTGAGCAATGTTGAGAAAGGAGTGGGAAAGCTACTAATTTTTGTTTTGTTAAAAAACAACATTTTGAAAATGAAAAGTGCTAAAGAGGTGAAGATTTTTTGCTTCAAAACTTTAAAAGACACGGTTATTATCATTAATATAAAAATACTAAAATAATCAATAAGAAATTGAAACATAAATGAAGCTTTAAAAAAATGTGGTAGCACAGGATGTGATCAAAAAATATCCGTCATCTATTGTTTATTTTTTTCAATTGAAGTTAAAGAATCGATTGAAAAACTATTATGTGAGTTCAAACCAGTGCAATGCATAATATTCAGTTTGACAGTCTTTTGTTTTAAGTGGAAAACCTTGCAATTTTCTACGCAACGCTCTACGCACGCCCTTCGATAAAAAAAACCTTTTTTGAAACTTGGGATCATCTCAAGCTGATAATTATGATATGAAAGAAAATTTTGGGTTAATTAATTATTGAGGAGTTTCTTAAAAGGCAAATATAATTAATTTAGAACTTAATTTACTTTAAAAGATTTTATTGCCCATCATATTCTACTAAAATTCAATGAACCTCAAAAAGAGTAAAATGGGCTTCAACCAATTAAGAGTCTTGTAATAAATAAAAACATAGCCATCGTGATCATCTCCACACCAAACATGCAAGTTTAACTATTCACTCAGGACAGGACTCAAATTGATCAAAGCTTCTTCAATTCATTTATTCTCTCGCAACAAGTCAAACAAGAAAAGGGAAATGAGCATAGGAAGAGAATTTGCAGCCAGCTCTAGTAAAAAACTTACTAAAACTCATAAGCCTAATTTATAGAAGCAAAAATGTTTCCATGTTAAACCTTTTTGCCGAGCTGAAGCCGATATAGGGGGGAAAATGTAAAAAGAAAAATACAGTCATATTTTCTTTACATGCAACTTTTAACTGAGGGACCGAACAACTTTTAGCTTAGGTGGCAGGGAATTCCACTGGTTTGCGATTCGGAATGAATAAATTTGCCAACCGAGCTCTGTGCGCAATTTTGGAGGAATTAATCAACACTCTCATAATTTTACATCACTCGCCATTGCGTCCATATCAGATTCACCACTGGTGTATTTTTTGAAAAATCAATCATGAATTTAAGCTACTGCTGCACTGACAGCAACTTCTTAGAAGACATATCAATTATCAACAGGTTATATTTTCATTCAGCTCTAAATGATATTCAAATGTTTAAGTTTGAATTAATACACAGTTCTGCCTAAAATTATAGATTAATTTTGTTCCTCTCTGAAAAAACTAGCAAATTTTAATGGTGAATGGTGCTTACTTAGCTACGCGTTTAACTTTTGAAACAATCGGTATCTCGTATCTTCTTTTTTTATTGGTTGGGCCGAAACGATATCATCTGGCCGCCTTTGTCTGTAACCTGCCGTCAAAAAGCTTACGTAAGACGTCAGAGGGCTAAATTTAATCTCCCGCCCTTTCCTTTTTTAATATTTACAAACCGATGCGATTGCTTAACGTCGCGCCGTCAGAAGAAAAAGTGCGAGCGACCTGCTGACCGGCGCAGACACTCAATAAATTCCACGTCGAAATCACGCGGTTATAAATAAAAAGACACTCTCTCGTCTACTTTCGCGGGAGGTCTCTTCAAAAAGCGCCCCACACGAGAGCGGAAGATGTTTTAATTCCAATTTTCCGCTTTGAGAGTGAAAATAATAATGCACCAGGTTTGGCGAATGGGTTGAGTCACAGGTTTGGAGCGGCACTTCAGAGAGCAGCCTGTAGTGGCCCAAGGATTTAAAAATAAACGACACACCATGATAAAACTATTTTCGATGGGATCTCGCTTTTTATATTGTGCCCACGATTCGTGCGCTCACGCACACACAGGCCGAGTTCTTTTGTAGATGACGGAGAAAAATATAAGCTGGGTGAACGCGTGTGCGCCCGAGACGAAAACAAACGCTTTAGAATTATCCCCCGTTGCATGATGCTTGTCTACAAGGCGGTGATAGATGCCAATAATAATAATGTGGCTGTATTTGTTGTCTTCAAGAGATCCGAAGCGACCAAAAGGAAATTTTTGGTTCATTCATAACAAAATATTTGCCAAATGTGTTGAAATTTTTATTCAATTCAGATTATTTCCTAATAAATAACTTTGGAAATTAAATTTTATAATACTTTTAATTTGCATATTTTTTTCTTGTTTATTTAATTAAACAATTTACAACGTCTCAAGTGTCGGGCGATAAAAATCTGTCATGCAATGCAGATTTAAAAAAACCCAGCAATTCACGCAGATCACCATTTGCAAAAGTCAAAGAGACCATTCATTTTTATGTTTGATTTTTACAGCCACTTGATTATATTTCTGCTGCAGAAAGCAGCAAACTGGAGCGGCTAAACTTCAAAGCACACCTTAATAGGTCAATTAAAAACAAACAAGCCATGGAAAAATTTCTCAAACCGCTTGAGACGCTTAAAAATGTTGGATCGACATTCCAAAGAGTCGCTTCCTGACCTCGACCATGGTCGTCTGTCCCGTTCTAGAAAAACAGAAAGAAAAAAACAAAGGTGCATCCGAATTCAATGTTGGCCACGCAGACGAGATTTGTGCCGCAGCCAAATGCCTGCCCCGCTGCGCAAGTATTAATAGACGCGGGAGACGGTGAGCACCTCATTTCTTTTCGGCTACTTGAACTTCGTACTTCTCGCGGCTGAACCGAGCGGTTATTGACTGACCGAAACGCTTTACCTCGTTAAAAATCTCATAATGAGATCAGTTACACTTGCTGATGTGAAAACGGCAAGTGGTGCGCAATAACTGAATGAATGAAATAGGCATAATATCTAAAAAAAAAACAGCCAAAGAAAATTTTGAGAAAAAAAAACAAAACGATCCAAATGTTTCTTTTTATAAGATAATAACCAATATTTAATTTCAACATTTTAGTCGATAGAAAATTCAAACCAATGCATTATATAATGAAATTAAATTAAAAAATTACTAAAAAAAATATTTGATAAAATCAAGTTGCATTTAATTCGTGTCACTTTTTTATATAATTTCATTTTTTTTTTAATTTGCTATTTAATTAAAATCTCCAAATGTGTTTTTTTTTACAGGTCGCGTGGCAGTGAAGATTTAGTGGTCGACGATCGCTACCAACTTGCCGAAAACAATAACTTGGTGCAGCTGGCCGTGCAGCGCGCTCGCACCGACGACACAGGTTTCTACTCGCTCCTGGCCAAGAACGCGGCCGGCCAGGCTAGTGCCACACTGGAGCTTAAGGTAAATCCAAGATAATTTGTCAAATGTGCTTAAATAAATTTTATTTGTAATCTCCAATTAATTAAATTTTAATGAACTTTAGTTACTTTGTTTTTAAATTTTAAAACAAATTTTCATCTCATGATAAAAATTTAAGAGAAAATCATTCAGCAATTTGACGCCTGCAAAATGAACATCTATGCAACCAGCGCGTTTTTCTTGCTTAACATGTTGCATAGCCATTTGATTAGAGCAACTTTCTCTCCATCAAAGAACTTAAATTATTTCATTGCTCCAATGGCAAAATTTAATACTTCAGGTGGATTCGCCCGTTTCGGCGAAACGAAGGAGAGGCGATGGAACACCTCCCCAATTCGTGCGAAGTCTCAACGACCTCGCGGTCAAGGTGGGCACCAGGACACGCCTGCTGGTGGAAGTGCGTGGAGCGAGCAAGGTCAGCAAATTTTTAATTTTGTTTTTCCGGTGTCTATTTTTTATTTTCCAAAGATAACCTGGTACCACGACGAAGTGGACGCAGGCGATGGAGGCGGACGTTACGCTCCCCTCGTCGAGGGCAACTTCTGCTGCCTGGACATTAGCCCAGTCTTTTCAGACGACGGTGGCCTTTGGACTTGCAGGGCTTTTGCCGAAAGCGGCACCTACTCGGAATGCTCGGCCTACCTAAACGTTTTAAGTGAGTTTTAATTTTCTCCTCTAAACTCTTATTGATTTTAAATTAAATTATTTCATGAGGAAAACGTTAAATTAATTTACTGTCATTATATTTAAAAAATATTAATTTTTAAAATCAGCTCCAAAGGCTTACAAACCACCTGAGTTCATCGAAGAACTGCAAGCCATCCTGACCGAGCAGGGCACGGTCTCGCTCGAATGCAAAGTGGTCGGAGTGCCAACCCCCGTGCTTCGCTGGTTCAAGGATGGCCACGAAATCAAGGCCGGCGACGTCTTTGCGCTCACTGCCTCCCCCGACGACCCCACGTCCCTTGGTACTTACACATGCGAGGCCACCAACTGCATGGGCAGGACCTACTCCAGCTCAAGGGTGCACGTCCTGGGCACCAACAAGTCCTCCTCGGCCTCCACTGAAAGGTAAAAACACCAAAACGAGTTTAATTAATCAGTCGGGTTTGGCGAATTTTGCATTTTGAACTTTTGCAGCTGGGCCGACATTGAACTGTTGTGGGTGCGCAATGAGCCACTTATTTGAAATTATTTCTTCCGACCCACCGACTAGTAGAAAATTGTACAAGCGTTAATAAAAAATTAATATTTTCAACTTCGTGCCTTTAAGATGAGAAAAAAATTAATCATTTAAATTCAATTAAATAGCGCAGAAATCACAAATGTTGCGACACATTATTGTGCCGTCCCAATCAAACTCGTGGCCCATTTTTCACTCGCCCCATTAAATCTGCTCTCTTTCAGCATAAATTTCGGCGGATCGCCACCAGTTTTCACTGAAGAGCTGCATGCCGAGAAAGTGAAACTAGGCGACCCTACAACTATAACTTGCAGAGGTAACATTAAAAAATTATATGCGCTCCCTTTGATTAAAATAATTTTAGTTCGAGTTCCCCCATGGCCGAAAGAGGTTGTTTGGTACAACAGCTATGGTCGAGTGGCCTCCCTGAACTCCTCGGCCCCAGGCACCCTTGAAAAGTACCGCGCTATCGAGGATGGCTTGGGCCGCTTCACGCTGCAGGTTTCATCAACAGAGCTAACCGATCAGGGCGAGTGGAAGTGTGTGGTCACGACCCCTGACGGCTCCAAGACCATGAGCTGCACAACCTTAAACGTGATAAGTAAACTGAAATAAAAAATATTAAAGGCCACGAGATAAGAGGAATTTTGCAGTACCAAAAAACTACAGAAAGCCAAGATTCTTGGACCCCCTAAAGGCAATTTTGACTGAGGAGGGACTCGTTTCCTTTGAGTGCAAGGTCGTGGGGTTCCCTACGCCGCAACTCCGGTGGTTCAAAGACGGCCAGGAGCTTAGGCCGGGCGACGTTTACCAGCTGTCTGGAACCAACTCTCTCGGTATCTGTCACTTTCTGACGTGTGAAATTTACTTTATCTTGAACAATCGCAGGCTCGTATTCATGCATAGCGGTCAACTGCATGGGAGAAGCGAGCAGTGGGGCCGAACTGACCGTCGAAGACATTCAGAGTCAATTAAGTGACGACGAAAAGAAGCAGCTGCTGGCAGCGAATCAGCCGCCGCGATTTATTAGAGGCCTCAAAAGTTGCGAGGCTCGCATACTTGAACCTTTCAGATTGTCCATCCAAGGTAAAATTCTATGGCGAAAAAAAAATATAATTATTTTATTGAATTTTAGTGACTGTCACACCGGAGCCGAAAGTGGCCTGGTATCGAGATGACGAAATCATTGAGAGCGGTGGCCGGTACAAAGCCAACAAAGACAACGCAGCTACCTACAGTCTTTCTGTTGACAAATTAGAAATAGTTGACCAAGTAAGAATACAAAAACCAAAATAAATCATTTCCTCTGATTACTCTTGTTATTAATTTAGGCTGAGTGGAAATGCATAGCAACGAACGATTTTGGCCAAAGTGTGACCTCCTGCTTCCTGAAACTTGTAATTCCCAGGCATTTTAAGAAACCACGCTTTCTAGAAAATTTAAGAGCAATCCTTTCTGAAGAGGGTGCAGTAAATCTAGAATGCAAAGTAAATTTTAAATAAATTTCATAATGAAAATTTCTAAAATTATTTTATAATGAAGGTCATAGGTGTTCCACAGCCAATTTTAAAATGGTATAAAGACGGAATGGAGCTAAAACCAGGTGATATTCATCGAATAATATCTGGTCAGGATGGCACCTGCTGTTTAGGCACCTACACTTGTGAGGCTAACAACTGCATGGGAACCGTTTCAAGCTCTGCATCTCTCCTAGGATTTGACGGTATAAAATTTAAAACATAATTAGTTTGCTTAAAATTAATTCAAAATCAAAATATAATTTAAATAGAAAAAATGAAACAAGAAAAGGAAGCCGATGCTAAAAAAACATCTCAGAATGTGCCTCAATTGGCTCTGACGGGAACGCCGGCGACCAGCGGCCACAAAATTACCCGAGATCCGTCTTTGTCCACTATTCAAGAAGAGAGGACGTCACAGATGATTGATCATAATGCGAACGACAGGTCCATAGCAAACACGTTGGCAGACGAAGAAAGAGGCGAAGTTTCATTCTCGTTTGACGGCCGAGAAGTGTCAGTTTCTCTTTATGAGACGCCCGACCTTACCGAAGAGGAGGCTTTGCAGATCGTGGAAATGTACGCTGACAAGTTGTCTGAACACGTATCTGGTGAGTTAAATTTATTACATAAAATTGGACGTATGTAAAAAAATTACAGTTTGAAGTCAAATATTTAAATATAAAAATTACTGGAACAAAATTATTTCTATATGGTGATTTGAATTTAAAGTCGGCATTTGCTCGATGGATTTTTGTGAATTGTTTATTGTTTAAGAAAAACCATATCCTGCTCTTCATGTTTCTGCTGCGGGATGCAACCATAATTCATGAGCTGTGAAAATTTTTTGACAAGAATTAGTACAAAAACCAATTTTTAAATTTTTTTTTTCAAATTAACTCTTTTTGAGGAAAAAATTATTCTAAGATTACATTTTTAATTTTTACACAAAACAATTTGTAACAAAAAAATTTTACAATATGAATTGAAAAATTATTATTAACAAAATTAATTTTTATAATAAATTTGGTCAGAATATTTAAACGCGTGTTTTGAGCGCCGAGAAAGGTACGCTCAAATTTCACATTTCAATATTCTGACCAAAATTGTTTAAATTTATTGTGTTAAAAATAATTTTTTTTAATTCATATTGTCAAATTATTTAGTTTAAATTAAAAATTGTTGTGTAAAAATGTAACCTTTCAATAATTTTTTCACGAACAAGAGTTAATTTGAAATAATAATATTTTTTTTTCCAATTGGTTTTTGACCTAATTCTTGTAATAATGTTTTCACAGCTCATGAGTTATGGCTGCATGGATATTGTTTTTCTTAAACAATAAACAACTCACAACTTCATGAGTCAATCCTCGATTGTGATATTCTACCACAAAAATATTTTTAATTTGTATATTGGCATTTTATACTCAGCAAACGTCGATGAATAATTATTTAATTTACAGAGCACAATATTGTCGAACTTCCATCACTACGCTTTGTCAAGGAAACGTCAACCTCTGGCAAGCTGGTCATGGAAGCTGTCGTCATAGATGTGACTGATGAAAATTTCGAGAGCGCTCTTGCAGCCAATGCAGCTATGGATGATGACAAAACGGAGGACGATTTTGACAACTTGTCCATCACTGACGATATTCCAGAGGGAATTCTTCCTCAGGACAAATTCACGACTGAGTTTATAGAAAGAGCATTTAACCAGCCTGGCGATGAAGCCCCAAAAGCACCTCCGAGACAAAAGAGGTCAGCGACCTCCACTCCGAGGCCTGAGTCCCAAAATGAGCAAGTCAAAAGTTCCGAGGATTCTTTCTACAGCGTGGCACAAAAACAATCAAAAAGCCAGGCGGATGACCACAGCTCATCGTCACAGCCAAAGTCGGAGTCCTACGCCTCAGCGCGGGACACAGAATCTTCTGGCAAAAAGAAGCCATCGAAAAAGAACGACGAACCAGCATTCCAAGTTGCGGCTATTGAAGTTTCCAAATCAGCAGATAGCAGCCTTAAAGAGGACCTTTCGTCCGCAAGCAAAGAAGGTAAATCGAAGGCCAAAAAGTCCCGCTCTAGATCATCTTCCCTGGAGAAACACAAGAAACGTAAAACGAGAAAGAGCAAATCTCCTGGCTCCGTCGGATCGCAGTCGTCAGACAAAGATGACGAAAAACAGAAAATTGAAATTGCAAAAATCGATTCCACAATTAACTTGCTGGAGAAATCAAAGAAACTGCAAGAGGGACTTGCAACTATTGAATTGCAAACGGCGTTGGACATTTCTGCACAAAAGCAGATGCCCGCCCAGTTTGCTAACACAGCCAAAAAGTTGCAAATTGAAATTGCTGCGATTGAAAAAGATATTGAGAAGAGCGGTTCGCCAGCAACAGAAAATCTACAAAAACTGGCAGAAACTGCTAATCAATTTAATGCAGATCTTAGCGAAGCACCGAAACCCAGTGGGCTGCTTGCGAAGACATTTGATATTATTGTTTCAACAACAAAAGAATTTTGTCAAGATGTAGCGCAAGCAATTCAGGTAGTTGTCATAGATCCAGTCATCAATGTTCAAGAAGTAGAGCAAACGAGTACTTTTGAAGACCTTCAGAGAGGACTCATGGAGGTTGCCCGGCAACTAAGCCCTGAAGCGCCAGAGATTCAGTCAGAGTATCACCTAAAGAAACCACCTCAACTGGTGAAACAACTCTCAGGAGAAAAACCTCTACTCGTCTTGGCTGAATCGACTAGAAATATTAAGAAAGCTGTGATGGAGAAACAGTCATCCCTTGAATCGGAGCACAGCATTGACCTTGAACAGGTGAACAGAATAGAAGCTTTGTCACAATGCAACAAAACATTTGAGCTTGCACTCGAATTCATTGAGAAACATTCCAATTACGAATTTGAAAATGCTGCTGACCAACCAGCAGTTGCCGTTGCTGTCGCTCAGTGCAGCAGAGAGCTGCACAAAGCGATTCAATTGATTGAGGAGCAAGCAGCTTTGGAGAAATCGGTAACAAACGAGGCTACTGAACTGCAAACACTGGTAGAGTCCGCACGCGAGCTCCAGGAAGCTTTGCTTCAGGTAGAAATGGATATGCAGATTCAGCCTGAATTCTACGGCGATGAGAGGTTCGAAAATGTCTTATCTGAAAATGACATAAAAACCATGAGTATATCTGAATTGAATCAAGCTATGGCAATGCAAATTGAACCAGAAGCGAATCCTCCAATTGTTTTTTATCAGAACACAGCATTAGAAATGGAACCTAAATCTTTTGCTGCTACTGAAATTCTAAGTGCAGAGGGCGCTCAAAGTCAGGAAGCCATTACGAAAGCTATTGCAACCGCTTCTGAAAACCAAGCACTAGATGCTGGAACAGGTATCAGCATGTCCTATAAAGATGATAGAACTGTTGCCGCTGAAAAAGAAGTTTCGGTGGTAAAAGAAACAGCTACTGCCGCATCACAAGAAGCTCTCCATTCGACTAAACCAACTCCAGAGTCAACAGTTGCACAAGTAGCAAAGGCTAGCGAGGTTATTGAACCTTGCCTTCCTACAAGTGTGCAGGATGTTAAAATGGTGATGGAGGAGAGAGAATTATCCATATCAGAAATCCAACCGACTGTTGCAACTAAAAATGTTGAGAGTTGTTTAGAAGTTGGAACTAAAAATATATCAATTGCTTTAGAAGAACGGGACGAGTCAATTGTATCAGAGCAACGACCGATAACGGCAACAGCAAGCCAAAAAATTGAATCTTTTCTGGAAATTGGTGTGCAGAGCGCAGAAACTGCATTAGAAGAGCGGGATGCCTCGATTTCTACACCAGCACAGGATCAAAAAGCATCAGCAACTGGATCCATAGAACCCTGTCTAGCCACAGGCGTGCAAAACCAGGATGCTGTCTTTGAGGAGCGCGATGTGTCAATTTCTGAGAAAAGGGCATTCACTGCTCAAGCTTCTCAAAATATTGAACCCCATTTGCAATCGGCCGTTCAGTCTCACGAGACTGCTCTTGAAGACAGGGATGTATCAATTGCATCAACTGAAGACCAGGGAATAACAAAAGCCGTGGAGAGCATTGAACCTTGTTTGCAGACGGGTCTCAAGTTAGCCGAGACTGTTTTGGAAGAGAGAGATGCATCAATAAAATCTGAATTTGCCCTAACTCCAGCTAAAGCAACGCAAAGCCTCGAAATGTGTCTTCAAACTGGGGTGCAAGATGTTGCAACTGTTTTTGAAGAGCGAGATGTGTCAACTACGTCAGGGAGTAAAATAAAGCTTGAAAAAGCAGTCAAAACTGTAGAAGAAGGCTTCATGATTGGCGTAGTTGCTCAAGAACCAATCCTTGCAGAACAAGAGGCATCGATCTCAACCCAATCTGGCGTGTCCAGCCTTGAAACGTTGGCCCAATCGGTTGAAGAGTTCCACCGAGGAGTTGCTACAATTCAACAGCAAGTAATTTTGGACGCAAATTTAGAAAGCATGTCTGAGCATACCTCTATATCTCAGCTAAAGGCGCTGGCAAAGTCAGCTAATATTTTTCACAATCATCTTATACACGTTGAAGAGCAAATAGTCCTGGAAAGTCAAAACATAACGCCTGACGAAATTGCTCTGTCAGCACTTGCTGAGGCAAAATTGGCTTTTGAATGTGGGATTGCTCTAATTGAACAGCAAATCGTCATGGAGGGTTGTGACAAAACTATATCCGAGGAAAATCGATTGGATACACTTGCTCAGTCTGCTAGAGAGTTCCAAAGAGGTCTTTTGCTTATCGAAAAGCAAGTCGTTTTGGAAACAGGGACTGATTTGGAGCAAAAGGAAACAACGAATAGATCAGCTTTAGCTACAAACCTGCAAGAAATGCAAAAAGGACTGGCGTTTATTGAACAAAACATTGTTTTGCACGACAGTCAAGATGTTACCACAATGACTTCGGAAGCTTTTACCACAGCTGCTGAGTCATATGAGCTCAAAGGTCTTGATTATGATGTGAATCCGCAATTACAAATTGCTGAGCCGCACTCCGAAGATAGCAGTCTTGCTGACGTTGTGTCAATGGATGATAGGAGCTCAACCAGTCATTTTAGTTTGGCGCAAGAGAAGGAAGTGCTCAAGGACGACGACAGCGTTGCTTCGATCTTGGCTTCTCAGCAGAAGTCCGTCGGAGAAAATGTGTTCTCCATTCTCGAGGAAGAACTCAGCGACTCGCAAGGTAAAGCGGAAGCCGGTGAAAAGGAAGGTCAAGACGAAATAAACGAACCAGCAGAAGCTCGGTCTCCTTCGTCACTCCAAAGAGAGCTAGAAATTTCAACTGAAGATTTGGTTCCGTCAGAGTCCTTTAAAGAATACAAGGAGATGCTTTATCGAGAGCGTCTCAGCAAAAGCACCAACGTCAACCTGCAACGGCTTCTCGACATGTATCCCGAGGATGTTGCACTGAAAATTGCAAAGGAAAAAGAAGAAGCTGATGAAGCTGCTCAGAGAGCACGAGAAATGGCCCTAGAAAGACTTATCGAGAAACGCGAGCAGAAAGAGGTTGAAATGTTGAAGGCACGAAGCAGCGAGTCACTAGCTCGCTCAACTGAGGACGTACGGGGCTCTAGGACCAGTCTGCATAGTATGACAGAAGACCCGGAGACGCCTATCAGGCCAGACAGAAAAGTGAGTGTCAATTATTGCGTTTGCCTGTGCCCCTTTATAAATTTGTAAATTATAATTTTGATATCCCACAATTGAAAATATATGTTTTTGGGAGTGATTATGCATGTAAATATTTCATGTCTTGCTCTTTTGTGCATTAGAGTGAAGAACCATACCATGTTGATTCTGAAGAAAAAATGATTGTTGATGATAATGATGATGAAGTTTTCATTTCTCCAGAAGTTAGCATGAAGTCAATGAAAGACGAAGCTTGCTTGGTACGGTTTATAATTAATATTATTTTTCCGCGTGTATTATATTGCATTATTACTTGAATGATCATGTGCTATGTCCAATACTTTCAGGCAACACAAATTGAAGAGATTAAAAATCAGACTGATGAGGTAGGTTTGATTTGTAATTCATTGCATGTGCGCTTCATGTATCATAAGCATACATCTATAGAATTTTATTATAATATTTCATGTTTTTCTCTTTTTTTATAATTAAAATTCAAAATTTAAAATTTTAATTTATAAAGGTGCGCAAAGTATTACCAGAACGAAAGGACACAGAAATAGGAGAAAGTAAAGAAGAAAAAAGTGTGGAGGTTAGATTTAAATGTAATAGAGTAAAAATATTCAAACAAGGGTGTATTTTGTAGACTGAAATTTTATCAAAAAAATCGGACGAAAAGATCCCGAAGGACGAGGAAAAGGTAATAATCCAGCAGGAGGAAGCGCGAAAAGAACAAGAAGTGGTATATACATAATATCTCTTCATTAAATTTGTACTTAATAAAAATTATTAAATATTAGGCCGATCTTAATGCTAGACAGGCCGCTGAAAAGAAAGCGAAGGAGGAAAGAGAGATTAAAGCACAAAGGGAAAATGAAGAAGTGATTTTTTACAGGGTTTTTTCTTCTTTTTTTTTTATTTTTTGTTTTATAATATAGGAGAAGCTAAAGGCTAAATTGGTGTCCGAAAAGAAACAAAAAGAGGAGGCTGAGTTGAAGGTGAAACAGGAAACGGAAAGAAAGGAGCGGGAGATTAAAGAAAAAGAGGAGGTTTGGGTTAATTAAATTGAGATAAATTTTTTTCATTCAGTTAAAAACATGTCAGGCTGAAATTCGGGCGAAAAAAGATGCTGAACAGAAAGCAAACGAGGAGAAAGAGTCGAAGGCCAAGTTAGAGAAAGAAAAGAAAGAGAAAGAAGAGGTTGGGTCAACTATTATATTAAAAATTTTTACTTTTAAAATTTTATTGTATAAATATTGTCAGGTTGAAATACAGGCTAAAAAAGAGGCTGAAAAGAGAGCCAAAGAAGAAATGGAATTGAAGGCAAAATTAGAAAGGGAAAAGAAAGAAAAAGCGGAGGTTCGATTTTTTTAATAACCTTTTAAGAAGATTTTATTTTCACAATCTTTTATTATCTAGGCTGAAATAAAAGCCAAAAAAGATGCAGAAAAGAAAGCTAAGGAAGAGGCAGAACGAAAGGCCAAAGAAGAAAAACAGCTTAAAGCTAAGGAGGAAAAAGAGAGAAAGGAGAAAGAGGAGGTTGTAATTTTTATTATAGGGAATTGCCAGTTCTAATTAATGTTATTAAAGGCTGAAATTAAAGCTAAAAAAGAGGCTGAAAAGAAAGCCAAAGAGGAAGCCGAAAGGAAAGCAAAGGAGGAAAAAGAATTGAAAGTCAAACAGGAAAAAGAAAGGAAAGAAAAGGAGGAGGTTTGAAATAAAAAAATGTAGCTCTCGAGTTCATTTATTAAATTGTTTTACTAGGCCGAGAAAAAAGCTAAATTAGAAGCGGAAAAGAAGGCTAAAGAAGAAAAGGTTAGATTAGAGAAAGAACATAAGGAATGGGAAGAAGCAGAGCTTAAAGCAAAGAAGGAAGCTGAAAAGAGAGCTAAGGAAGAGGCTGAAAAGAAAGCCAAGGAGGAGAAAGAATTGAAGGCTAAACAAGAAAAGGAAAAGAAGGAAAAGGAAGAGGTGATACTTTTTGTTTTAATATTAACGGAGAATCAAATAATTTTTAATTAAACTATTAAGGCTGAGAAAAAAGCTAAAATTGAGGCTGACAAGAAAGCCAAGGAGGAAAAAGCAAGGCTTGAGAAGGAAAAGAAGGAAAAGGAAGAGGTAGGAATAATAATTAGAAATCTTGCCCATTTATCACGCGGGATTACTATAGGCTGAACTGAGGGCTAAAAAAGAAGCAGAAAAGATTGCGAAAGAGGAAGCAAAACTGAAAGCAAAACAAGAGATGGAACAGAAAGAGAAGGAAAAAAGGGAACGCGAGGAGGTTCTGACAATTGTCCTTGCGTTAATTTCAACTAATTTATTAATATAGGCCGAGTCGAAGGCAAAGAAAGAGGCACAGAAAAAATTAGAAGAGGAAGCTGAATTGAGGGCACGCCAGGAAAGAGAAAGGAAAGAAAGGGAAGAGGTAATATACATTTTAAATTCAAATGTCATTTCATTTCGATATCATTCATTTCATTGATCAAAAAAAGGCTGAGAGGAAGGCCAAAGAAAAGGCTGAAACTGAAGCGCAAGAGGTAAAGCATGTGAATGCACGAATTCTTTGTGTTTATAAGTTCAACTTTACAAATATTTTTTAATGAAATTATAGGCTGAAAGGAAGGCTAAGATCGAGGCAGCTGAGAAGGCAAAGAAGGCGGCTGAAAAGCTGGAGAAAGAAAGAAAATTAAAGGAAGAGGTAGGTTTATAATAATGGAATTAAAATTACAAGTCAAGTGTTTAAATCAATAGCAAGAGAAAAATTTGCGTCAAGAAAAAGAGAAAAAAGAACGCGAGGAAGCTGAGCGACAGAAGCAAGAGGCTGCAAAGTTAGAAAAAGAGAAACGAGATAAAGAGGAGGTACGTCGATTTATAAATTTTTAAATGAAGATAATATAATAATAATTCATAGGCTGAGAGAAGGTCAAAAGAAGAAAAGGAGCACAAGGAAAAGATTGAGCGTGAAAAGATCGAAGTAATATATTAACTCAAAAAGTTTGATTGAATTTAAAAAGTTATTTTTGAAAAAACAACAGGCTGAAAAGAAGGCTCAGGAAGAGAAGAAAAAGAAAGAGAGTGATGAAGCTGAAAGAAAAGCCAGAGATGAAAAGGAGGCTGAATTAAAAGCCAAGAATGAGAGGGAGGAGGCCGAGTTGAAGACCAAAAAGGAAAAGGAACGTAAAGAAAAGGAGGAGGTTTGTCCAAAAGTTGACCAGGCCCTTTTAATTTTTATTTAACATAATTTTTCTAGGCTGAGAGAAAATCCAGAGAAGATAGTGAGAAGAAAGAGGCAGAGAGGAAGGCTAAAGAGGAGAAAGATAGAAAAGACGCAGAGAAAAAAGCTCAGGAGGAAAAAGAGAAGAGGGAAAAAGAAGAGGCCGCACTGAAGGCAAAGCAGGAGAAAGAACGGAAAGAAAAAGAGGAGGTTTGCATATTCGAACGATTTCATCGTGAATGCACTTTAAAATATTTGTAAAATTAAATAGGCTGAGAGAAAAGCCAAGGAGGAAAAAGAAAGGGAGGAAGCAGAGAAGAAAGTCAAAGAAGAAAAACTTAAAAAGGAAAAGGAGGCGGCAGAATTAAAGGCCAAGCAAGAGAAGGAAAAGAAAGAGGAGGTTTATAATTAAAACAAAAAAACTTCAATGACTTAATTTTCAATTTAATAGGCTGAGAGGAAAGCCCGAGAGGAAAAAGAAGCAGAGAAAAAGGCCAAGGAAGAAAAGCTTAAAAAAGAAAAGGACGCAGCAGAATTGAAGGCCAAGCAAGAGAGGGAAAAGAAAGAAAACGAGGAGGTTCGCATAATTTAAACCAATTTTCAAATTACTTATCAAATAATTTTATATTTTAATAGGCTGAGAGGAAAGCCCGAGAGGAAAAGGAAAAAGAAGAAGCCGAGAAAAAAGCCAACGAAGAAAAGCTCCAAAAAGAAAAGGAAGCGGCAGATTTGAAAGCTAAACAAGAAAGGGAAAAGAAAGAGAAAGAGGAGGTTTGTTTTTAGAACATTCTAAAATTTTGAGGATTTACAATCTTTTTTCAAAAGGCCGAAAAACAGCAAAAAGAAAAGGAGGCAGCTGAACTCAAGTCCAAGCAGGAGAGAGAGCAAGCAGAGAAAAATGCCAAAGAGGAAAAATTGAAACAAGAAAAGCAAGCTGCAGAACTCAAAGCCAAGCAAGATAAAGAAGAGGTTAATAATTTGAACTTGATGAAAATTGTATATTTATTCTTTTTTTAATTAGGCTGAGCGCAAGGCGAAAGAAGAAAAAGAGAAAAAGGAAGCCGCTGAACACAAAGCAAAGGAGGAGAAGGAGCGCAAAGAGAGAGAAGAGGTCGAAAGAAAGGCAAACGATGAAAAGGATAAAAAAGCAAAAGAGGCTGCGGAGCTAAAAGCAAAACAGGAAAAAGAAGAAGCAGAGAGGAAAGCCAGAGAGGAAAAGGAAGCAAAACTGGCAAAGGAAAAGAAAGAAAAAGAAGAGGTAAAAATAACACAGCGACGGAAAGAAATGTTAATTTTCCTTAATTTTAATATAGGCTAAAAAGAAAGCCGAAGAGGAAAAGATTAAGAAAGAGGAGGTATGATTTTCACTAAATAAGAATTATTCATAAATACATGTGTAAAAATTTATTTTTATTGATTATAGGCTGAGAAAAAAGCCAAGGTGGAGCAGGAGAAGAAGGAAAAAGAAGCAAAGGAGGAAAAGTTGAGAAAAGAAAAAGAGGCGGCTGAACTGAAAGCCAGGCAAGAGAAGGAAGATGTAAGTTATACGTCATTAAAAAAAGGTTTATTTTCTATTTTCAATAAATTTCAGGCTGAGAAAAAAGCAAAGGAGGATGAAGAGAGGAAAGCTAAAGAGAAAGAGGAGAAACTGAAGAAAGAAAAGGAAGAGGTTTGTATTTGATAGTTTAAAAAATAAGCTTCTTTTTAAATTTAAAATCAAAACAGGCCGAGAGAAAGGCAAAAGAAGAAGCGGAAAAGAAGGAAAGGGAGGAGAAATTAAGGAAAGAGAAAGAAGCAGTAGAATTGAAAGCCAAGCAAGAGAAAGAAGAGGCCGAAAAGAAAGCTCAGGAGGACAAAATTAAGAAGGAAAAAGAGGAGGCCGAGAAGAAGGCCAAAGAGGAAAAGCTCAAGAAAGAAAAAGAGGAGGTGAGTTTATTGTATTCTGTTAAATGTGCTAATTGATTTTATTTCTCACAGGCTGAGAAAAAAGCAAAGGAGGAAAAAGCACGACAAGAGAAAGAAGCGGCCGAGCAAAAAGCTAAACAAGAGGTGAGAAATGTCATTTTATTTTTTAAGTAATGGTTACGTTTGTGGTTCAACGAATCGCGTCAGATGAGAATTGAATCACTCAGGGGGCCAAGGCTGCGACAATTTTGACAGTTGTTCTAATTAATACTAAAATTAACGCGTTGAGTAATGAGATAATGGGAAGGGAGAGTGAGAGTGGGGTGCTAATGAGTTGATTCGTGTTCATTAGTTTATCACATTCGTTCAATTTGTTACAGGCCGAATTGAAAGCGAAGCAAGAGAAAGAGAAGAAAGAGAAGGAAAAGAAGAAGAAAAGAGAAATGGAGGAGGTAGGATGAATTTATTTTTAATATTGAGATTAAAAATTTACACAATAGGCTGAGCAAAAGGCCAAGGAGGAAAAAGAAAAGAAGGACAAAGAAGAGGTTGGTGAAATCAAATAATTGATTTTGAATCCAATAATCATTTCAAATTTAAGGCTGAAAAGAAGGCTGCCGAGGAAAAGATTCAAGAGGAGAAGTTAAAAGCAGAGAAAGAATTAAATGAAAAGAAACAAAAGGAAGAGGTGAGGTTTTTTTTTAATTAATCAAACACTTAAAAATTTTTTCTTTATAAATTTTACAGGCCAAGAGTAAAATCAAAGAAAAGAAGCTTTCCGGCAAAAAGGCCAAAGAGGAGAGCAAGAAGGCCGAGGAATCCGTGGCCCGAGGTGCAGACCAGACCACCTCGCGCAACGTGGATGTCGAAATTCCCCTGATGAGTGAGACCCAGTTGGCGGCCGACGAGCTGCAGAAGAACAAGGAGGACCTCAAGGAAAAACTGGTCGAGCAACGACGCAGGCGGCGGAACGAGTCAGAGGAGCCGAGTTCGGAGGCGGACGGCCCCGTCCGGCACTTCGAGCGGCGCCGCTCCCGCGACTACACGGCCCACGAGCAGCCCGACGAAAACGGCGCCGCGGTGGAGTCGGGCAGAGTCCGACGCCGCTCAAGGACGCCGTCGGTCGACCTGTCCGAGGTCAACGGAAACGGCGTGAGGAGACGGTCGCGAACGCCCGCCATTGAGTCGCAGGCCTCGGAGGACAAGCTTGGCTACTCGGCAACAGTTTCCTCCATGCAGAGGGTGCGAAGACGCTCCAGGGACGAAAGCAGCTTGGCCGACGCGCCCGAACTCCCTGCCGACGCCAGACGAAAGCCCAAGGTTAGCAAAATTTGAATTTATCTTGAATAATTTAATTTTTATTCGTTTGAAGAAAAGTAAAATATAATTTTTTTTATTTAAAATTACTCTGAATTAAAGATTTTATATTAATTTTATCTAAAATTTTTAAGTTAAATATTTCCAGGCCGGGTTTTATATTTAATTATTTGTCATAATATTGCAGTGAAATATTCATCTAATTTGTTTTGAAACACAGAGAATTTACTTTGATATATTTATCTGTGGTCAAAAATTTATATTTTTGTTTATTTGAAGTTAAGCATTTTAGATAAAAAAAATTTCAATAATTTGTCAGAACATTAATTTTGTTAGATTCTCATCAGCAACACACTAGTTAATCTGGCTGAATTAAAAATTTAAAATGAACTTCGCATTTTTTTTTCAAAATAAATTTATCATCTTCCCAGAGAGATCAAAGCAAGAAGCCACACTTCTGCTCACGCCTCACAGACCGCACGACTCAGGTCGGCTCCAGGGTGAAATTGACCTGCAGTGTCCTCGGAACTCCCGACCCAACCATCCAGTGGTTCTTCGAGGACAAACTGATAAATTCACGGACTTCTCCCAACTACGTAATGTCCAATGCTGATGGATTAGTAACTCTTGAGGTAAAACTGTCATAAATTACTTTTGTTGTCTCCAATAAAAGTTGATTTTTATCCATCAGATCAAAAGTGCCACTTTGGAGGACGCCGGATTGTTCACATGCGTTGCCAAAAATGAGGCCGGAGAGGAAAAATCGGCCGCCGAAGTTAAAATTTTTGAAGGGTACGACCCTCAGCCCTCGGTGCCGACCTTCACCCGCTCCATTAAAGGTTCGAAATAAATTTTAAGGTAAAAAATGTCTACAAATAAAAAAATTTCAGACGTTTATCACTCGACCATGGACGAATTGGTGCTCGAGTGCAGACTCCGCTGTCCAGTTGCTCCTGAAGTGACTTGGCTCAAAAACGGCACCACCATTCCCAATTCGGAAAGGTACTACCACGAGGTCATACCTGACCCGCTGGGTGGTGGTGCCCTCTCTTGCAGACTTGTCATTGGAAATCCGCAAACAACAGACTCCGGACACTACGTCTGCAGAGCCGAAACCAGCTCTCACATTGAAAACACATTTGCTGACATTATTTACAAAGGTGATAAAAAAATTCCAAGTTGAAATGAAAACAAAAATAGCAAGTTAAAATTTTTTCATTAAATTTTGTAGAAACAAAAATCTGATAAAACTTTCTAACACTGTAATTTAAATTTTAGCGCGAGAAAAGCCGGTCAGAAAATCCAACCAGTCTTCTCTCTGCCTCTCGGAGGACAGTTTGCCCTTTGAGTGCAAACCATTCATCATGTCTCCTCTGGACGACTACGAAATTGGTCTGGGAGGAACCTTCTCCCTCCAGGTTGAAGTCAAAGGTATGTAAATTTCTGCCACGAATATAATTTTGAAAATATTTTTAAAATAAAAATATCGCAGGCAAGCCAAGACCGCAAGTGGTTTGGCTGCACGAGCAGCAGGAAGTTCCTCCGTCGCCCAAGATCAAAACCTTCGAGGAAAGGGGCATCTTCACCCTGAAAATCATGAACGCCACCCCTGCCGAGGCGGGTCTGTACACGTGCAGGGCGTTCAACTCGCTCGGAATTTCGGACACCAGCGGACTTGTCCGCATCGTGGCGCGACCTGGACGCAACGACCACCCCGCCCTGTTCGTCGAGCGTCCCGAGAACACCCTGGGAGTGGCGGTCGGCGAGGACATCACCGTCTCCTTCCGTGTCAGTGGAGACCCCAAACCGCAAAGTAGAAATTTGAATAAATTTAAAAAAAGTTTGGTTCAACAATCGAAAATTTTGCAGTTATTTGGATGAAGGGAACAAGAGACATCTCAAAACACCAGAGGGTCATGAAGGAAACGGTCAACGATTACGTGCGACTCACCTTAAGCAGGGCCATGGCCTCTGACGCAGGCACCTACTGCATCATGGCCAGGAACATCTACGGCGTCGACAGGGCCTTCGTCACCGTCAGGGTAATTGTCCTCAGCACATACAATAGAATTAAAAGTTCCTTCACACGACGAAACACGTTTGTTTAATTTTGCAGATTCGGCAGAGGGCGAGGTCGCTGACCCCGGACATCACGCCGACGGACACTCTGCTGCTCTTCAGGGACATCAGGGACGCGAAGGATATGCGAGCCCTGAGAGGTAAAGTTCACAATTTCACAAAAATTGTTACTTGTATCCAACTTACTGCTGAACACCTGCAGTTATTGACATCTGATTGATCGGTGATTGGTCAAAAGCGGTGGTCCTGGTATCGTGTTGCCAACAAAACAAATTTTAGTTTTAAATTTTTTTATTGACGAGTTCATAACAAGTGTAACCAAAAATCTGAATTTTTTAGAGAAACGTTTGAAAGCACTTTCGAAAATAAAAATTAGTAAAATTAAAGTAAAATAAATCTGGAATATAGACTATTCCGCAAATACGATGTGAGCTGCCGGTTGCATAAGTCGCGGGCCTTGTGCAAGAGCTAGGCTCTTTTTTTAATTCTTTTTTACAAATAAATATATCATTATCAATAAACTTTTAGTCTTGATACTAAATTTTAACAGATAGAAAAAAAAAGTTCTTCAGATTTAATTTTTATTGCATTTTCTCTTTACTCCAAAATTTTTTAGAGCTTTTTGCCCGCGGATTGGGGAGTTCGAATATTCGAAAGAGGGCTCGTGCAAGGCGCGTGTTACGTTGTAGTAAAATAAACACCTCTGTTTAGAGTTTGAGCGGGTGCGGGTTGCGATGGGTGGGTGAGCATTTGAGTTTGAGCAGTGCCGCGGCAGAAGCTCAAGCTTGAAAACAGCGGTTGAACTTTTTGTGTGGCCCGTTTGTTGGAATTCACCAAATCTCTAATCAAGACCTCTCTCCGTGATAATTATGTGTTTTGAAGACACGGTAGCGCTGCAAAAGGGTATGGAAATTATGAAAATGCTCACATATTATAGGCTAGATTTTCATTTGGAAGATATTTTAATATATTTTTTTTTTGCAAAAGTTAACGAGGCTTTCAGGCTGCGCAAAAATACACACGGTGGGCGATGTGTCGTTCGTCGAAAATAACCCCGCCGAAATAGAGATGGGCCTTGTGCATGCATGATTCACTTTGCAGGGGCCAAGTAATTTACGAAAACTAATTAGCTGCGATTTAATAATTTCCGAATATATTTTTATAATTTCATGTTTTTTAAGGGTTTTTAATTTAAGTTTGGCTTTTTGATTAAATTACGCAGATGTTCCTGGAGCTGTTGGGTCTGTGCCAGCAGTCACTGAGAGTGGCAAAAATTGGATCACACTCACTTGGAAGAAGCCGCTGCCGAAGGACTCGGGAAAGGCTCCAGTCACCGCCTATCGCGTTGACGCCTGGCTACTTGGTGGCGGAGCAACCTGGGAAGAGGTGAGTAAATTTTTTATTTTAAAAATCTGTAATTTATAATAAGCTTGAGTGGGCAAAATGTTGCATAAGGAAAGCAAGGGAAAATTTGGAATAATTTTTTTTACAATTAAAAAAAATAATAATTATAATAATTTTTATGATTTAATATGAAAATATTATTATTGTTTTATACATAAGTTTTAAAATAAAATATTGTTACACATTATTTTTCTTTTTAACAAATAATTTTAAAGAAAATTTAAAAAAAAAACAGCTCCGCAACAAATAGTTTTTGCGCCGTAGGTTACTTTCGAGATAAATTTTTAAAAAAACCTTACCAAAAAACACTAAATTTGAAAAAAAAAAATTATCTTATTCTAGTTGGGAGTCACTCCTATCAACAGCTTTGATGCGTTCAATCTCAAAGCTGGCAGTGAGTATAAGTTTAGAGTGACCCCGCGCAACCGCTACGGCTGGGGTGAGCCTGTGGTGTCCCACGGCTCCTTCGTCGTTGGCAAGAAGGTCGACATGCCCGAGTTCACGCACATCCTACCAGGTCAGCAGAAGGTGCTAATCGGCAGTGACGTCAGGCTCGAGTGCCAAGTCAAGGGTGAGCCCGAGCCTGAAATCCAGTGGTACAAGGACGGCGCCCCTCTCGACCCAGACTCTTTTGATCATCGAATGAGAATCACTTTCGACGGCGCCAGGTGCGTCCTGAACCTGAAAACGGTGCAGGATTCTGACACTGGCCGCTTCATGTGTGAGGCGTCCAACAAGGCTGGACGCGTGTCCACATTTGCCAGACTGCTCGTTGTGACTGACATAAAGATCCTCGAAGCCGACTTGAAACTTCGACAGTAAGAATAATTATTTTTTTAAATAATAATTATCTTTGCTTTATTTAATTTTATTCTGATTCCTAATGCATTTTTTTAAAGTATAAAGTATTGGGCATTTATTTAATTAAAAGAAAATTTAAAAATCCATGGCAACAAAAATTGTTTTAGGGGTCTCTTGGATGATGCCCCTGTTACCGAGTCGGCGCCTCATTTCACAATGCGTCTTCGTGACCGACGCGTCCAGATGACCTATCCTGTCCGCCTGACCTGCCAGGTCATTGGCTATCCCACGCCAGAAATCACCTGGTACAGGGACATGGAGCCCATAACTTTCGGAGGTATTTCCTTCAAAAATAAAAATTTTACCTTAATAATACAAATTCTATCATTTTCAAGAACGATACAGCAAGTCCACCTCCGAAGCCTTCCACACTCTTGAAATCCAGCACACTTTGGAAGAAGATTCTGGAGTTTATTCGGCAACAGCTCGCAACACACACGGCTCAATTTCTTGTCGGTGCCGCCTGGTTGTAGACAAGGGCATCAGGGCCTACATTGCTCCTGTTTTCATCTTTGGCCTGGAGCACCGGGAGATTAAGTTGGGAGGAGACATCCGAATCTGCGCCCAGGTGGAAGCTTATCCCACAGTTGGAATCACTTGGTAATTAACTTTCAAAAATTTATTTTCAGCTAAAGAAATTTTACACTTTCTTTAATTTAAAATAATAAATGGTGTTTTTAATTTGGAACTAATTCTCTTTTGCATTTTTTTTTAGGCACAGAGATGGCATTCGTCTGCGTCCTAGTCGCAGAATGGAGATGACTTTGGATCATGACGGCAACGTGGAGTTGCGGGTGGCCAACGCTGGCCCCCGGGACGCGGGCATGTACACTTGCACTGCGGTCAATGAGGTCGGCAGGGCAGAGAGCAGTGCGCGCGTCCAAGTGCTGCATCCCTCTGATTTCAGAGAAACGCCCAGCATATCAATCTCAGACATGTAAGTCATTTTCTCATTATCAATCTTCTGCTGTTTTCGAATGAGAAATAAAGTGCGTCGAAAAAGGCGAGAGGTTGCAACACCAGAGCCTCTCAGCCTACAGCGTTTTTCCTCACATTAAGCATCTGTGGCCCATATCACATTCACACTTAAATTGTAATAATGCTCTAAACGCACTCCACATTGGTATCCTGAGACTGACAGGCGCAAGAAGATTTAAAAAGATATTTGATTTGACAGCTAAATTAGATATATGATTAAAGAGTGCGGCTTTTAAATGACAGGGAAAGAAAATTATATAATGACATGATATTATTTTATTTCTTGTCAGATTTAAAAATTTGTAGCAATCAATTTTTCTTATTCTTCTACTGAATTTTTAATAATTTTGAACAAAAAATAATTAACTCTTAAATTATTCTATTGTTGCTGAGGCAAATTATTGCAACTTTTGAATCGCAAGTATTTTCAGATCACGCCTGTGGTGGATTGTCCCTCAGTTGAGCGTACATAAAAGCTTATTTAATCATTGCGGCATGCTGTTGAATCAAAATCAGCTCATTCCCACGTGGGCGTCTTGTTTGAATAAAAAGCTCCAACTGATAAAGGCCGCAGATCATGTTATGTATCATGTACACGCACCACGCAGAGAATAATATTGATTAAATGCAAATTTTCAAAAGTACGAGTTTTTTCTTTACAGTTGTGGTTCCTCATGAACCGCATTATTTTATTTTGGTGTGCGTTAAAAACTTTGAGCCAGACAGGTACAAGCACTCAATTGATTGGTGAAACAATTTCTGTATGTTATCAATTACAAATTTTATTTAACTCACAATTTTTTAAATTGATCGTAAAAAAACTTGTAATCTAAGAGCGAAAAAAAATTAATCAATCCACCTGCTGTACTTATTAATTGCGTGACGTGTACAATCAACTAATTACTGCGTGCTATGCCCTGAAGGTACTCGAAGGAGCCGAAGTTCGTGACCAAGCCGCGGTCCACCGAGGCGGTGGAGGGCGACACTGTGATTATTTTCTGTGAGGTGGTCGGCGACCCCAAACCCGAGGTCGTCTGGCTGCGAGACTGGCTGAGGGTGAGTACAGGCCTTTCTATTTTCTCGACTGAGATGCAAAAAATTATACACGCAATTGAATGCAACAAATTAAATAGGAAAAAAATAAATAATTATTATAGGGCTTATAATGAAAATTCAGCTAATTTTTGCTGAATCAATTATTTTCATGATCGTATAATTAACGATAATCTGAATTTGGGTTGAAAAAAGCTCTCAATTATCAATAATCCAGGTCTCACAGATTTTATATCTTGAGCAAAAGCGTACCGAATGGGCGGTAGATCGCGTGACCACTGCGTATTATGATCTTTTTATGGCCAAGCTAAAAGCTCAATAATTATTATTACTTTACGAGCCTCGATGGCTGCGAAACAAACAGCACTAGCGTTTTAGCTTAAATTTTACGTATTTCATCATCCTGGAGTAATAATTCACTTATGATTTTCCTTCTTCAAATAAAAAGGATGTTTTTTTACACAATTACGATTATTTGAAGCATAAAATTGAAATTTTTAGTAAATTATTTATATTTAAGAATGAACTGTGGGTTTGTGTGTGTAAGATTGCATCCGATGCACTTTTCTCCCCGTAGTGCCTCCCCACATCATTCAAAAGTAATCTGATAGTGCACTGGCATTATTTTTTCCCTTGTAACACCGATCCAACATGTTGATCATGCAAGTCAATCCCTTTCATTTCGCAGCATCCAGACCCTCGAGTAAAGCTCTATAGCTGTTCGTGATTTAAATCTGTTTACTCTCGTCAAAGTGCACGCCAGCGATCGCCCCGGCCAGATCAGTGTCACACGCAAACCCGCTGATATCACATTCAAATGCGCAACAATCAAATCTCCTCCCAAGGTGATTAATTGTGCAAGGAAGAATGTTGCAAAATGAGAAGAAAAATCTGCATTAGGTAGATTTCCTGTATTTGCCAAGGCGTAGCATAGTTAGTAGAAAAGTATTTTTTTTTTCATCATCAATATGTGGGGGAGAAATATAATTTTGTTGGAGTTGAAAAGAAAATAATTTAATTGTTTTCACACGAGTTTAAAAGGTGACATTTTGCTATTGCAATAAATTTCTTTGTATTATTTATAGGTACAAAAATAGACATGCCTTAACTTGTTAGAATTTAAAATGGGATGATAATGAGATGACTAAACATCGTATGTTTTGTTTTGAGGTCGACCCGGGTCAAAGAATGCGTTTGTGTTGCAACATTATGCATTGACGCGCGCGCATTTTATTGAATTATAAAGCGCTCCCGATGGCGCTTAATTTTTCCATTATACACACATCCAGCATCCGCCCTCATGAATATTTCATAAGGAAACGCGCGGCGATTCCAACGCCTTGACTTCTTAATTGAAAATCGCCCTATTTGTGTGTGAGTCACAATTAAAGGTGAACGAATTAATTGGAACGCGGCGCCCCCACCTCTTGCCGCACAAATGGGAACAAAGAGAGTTGATTTATGGAGAATATGACGGATCGGCTGCAGCGGCGACGCGAAGTGCGCCTGCAAATAACCTTCGCGTCACACACTCGAGAGGAGTCGCACGCGTTTTTCTTTGTACACAATAACGTATATTTTGCCCCAAAGGCCACGGGGCCTCTCTCTTGAATATAGTAACACGCGCTACTACACGAGTGCATACGGCGCACTCACGCACGCCAAATATGGAGATGAGCCTTTTAAAGGCATCCAGATGCATTTATTTCGATGATTAATTCCAAGGGAATGGCAAGCAGCAGCAAGGCGTTAAATTTCACATTAAATGTTAAATGGCGACGTCAGCGTTCCCTTGACGAAAGACAACAAGCACATCCTTGTGTTGCAAAAATTTGAAAAATATTCAGGGGAAAAAATCAAGTTCATCTTAAAGTGATGAATCTAGAAGCTGTCATGCTCAATTTTTTAAGAGAAGATAAGAGTTGGTAAAATCAAAAGGCAACTTGAAAAAAAAACGTTGTGGGCTTCAATTATTTGCAAAATTAGATACGGATTTGCTCTTCTCTTTCTCCTCTCAAATGAAGCAAAAGAGAGCATTGAACTTTTCAGGACAAACCGCGTCATTCCGTTCTCTGTATACTTTTCTTTTATATTTGAATGCAAAGGTTGGAAAAATGCTCTTACCAAAGCACAAAGAGTTGAGTTGGTTGAAAAGTTTTGGCGAAAAACCCAGCACTACTTCTAACAGTTTTCTAAAATGGCAACTCATTATGGAAATTGAAAGCAATTTATTATTCCTTTCCAAATAGAATTAAAACGTAGGGAGCGCTGCGAAACCTGCTTTTTCGTTGACAAGTGACGAGTTGCAGCGGCGGAAGAAACTCCTAGTCCTAGCTGTGTTGCGATAAAGTAGCACTGATTCGAACCTGTCGAGTGACAACCAACTCGTGAGAGCGCAGAGCGGTTTCCCATGAATGTTGGATTAATCAGCGCGCGAACCAGTTTTTGCTAATTACGCGGCGTTTAGCTGATTTAGTAGACAATAAATAAGTATATGCAAATTAATGACCCCGCAAAATTTTCACAACGCCAACACTGCTACCATTTGGATCTATACACCTTTACTTTGAAATTTTTGATCAAATATAAAATTGCTGATTTTTTTCAAGTATTGCAAAAATGAAGAGTTGATCCTCCAAAAATAAAATTTGCAACTCATTAGATATAAAATGATATTTTTAAATTTTTTTTTTAAAATCATTTATTATATTTAGCTCTTATAACTGAAGTGCTTTCATACGTTTCCATTACATGGTTTTCTATTTTATTTTATGAAATTAACTTTCGTTTTTTCGCGTGGCGCTTTTCCCTTTTTCCGTATGGCGTTGACAAGGAGAGTTTTTTCGCTTTGCTCAAGGTCTGCTTGTGAAACGTGATATCTGCAGGCGCCAGCGCACATTCTGTGCCTTCTCGACCGATCTTCATTTTTTAGCCGACTGACTGACTGACTCGCAGTCAGTAGTATTATATGTTTGCATACTCTTGAGTTTCATCTCGCTTTGCTCTCGTGGCTTATGCTAATTTATCGTGCTCCTGATGGGGTCTTTCTTCGAGAGGGATCTGCGTGCGTCTGGTCGTGCTCGTTACACAGTTTTATGGTTGCCCGCTGTCGTTTCAAGTCTCGCCGCGAGACGCCAGCTCGGTGAAATTAAAGAGCAACAACTATGCGAGTACATTTATCCCGATGCGAATTAACATCAGAAATGATTTAACTGATGTTTTGGGCGCGAGTTGTGTTGCCCGCGGTGCTGGCTGGCATCATAAATGGCGTCAAAATTGCTTCTTGATTAGATTTTTATCTCAAATCTGTTTCAAAACCAGACATCCAATCCGATGTGATGCAACTTTTCTTTTTTAATTTTAAACTGTGAAAAATGCCCAAATTAGATTGATTGATGTACCAAAAAGCAAAAGAAAGGAATATTACAAATTTGTGGAAATTTTTTATAATTTGAAAAAGGATAAAATTTCAAGTTTTATTTTATTTTTAAATTTGAAATAATTTTTCTGAAATGTAAAATTTAATTCTGTTTTTGCTCTACAATTAAATTTGAGTTCTTATACGGATTAATAATAAACAGAGAAGAAAAAGAGTAAGAAAGAAAAAGAGAGAACATTAAAAGTGACGCTGTTAAACCAGTTTTAAGGGACACAATGCATATAATTTTGGAGTTGATTACTGATGATGGGGTAAAAAAGCTGGCGGTGCTGATTTTTGCTGCCCGCCGCCGCCGCCGAGACCATTATGCCGATTTTAATTGGAGAAAGTGTGGGTTGGGTGGCGGGAGCCGGCGGACTGGGTCTGCAGCTACCGTGCGTGTTGATATGCAAAACGTGCCAAGCAAACGCGGCCGAGGAAGCGAGCCAGAGAATATTCCTCTCGCACTCGCAGCTACAAATCGAGTTAGCCGCGCGCACCGACACACAGGGGCACTTTGCTCCACTAATGAAGCAATCAGTCCTCATGCTTTTGCTAAAAGCAGCCCGGGAGTAAAAAAAGCCCTCCCGGGAGTGAATGTAGGTGGAACAAATAACACACAGACATTCTTAATTTTCTCCTCGAAATTCGACACTTTTCGGCCAGTCTGGCGACGCGGAAAAATTTTGCTGCGGTCTCGTTTACCAGCGCAAAGTAATTCTACACCATCCGATAATTAATTACGAAAGAAAAGGCCAAGTGTATTATACGGGCAAGTTTCCTGTTTTGACGTGCTCCGTGGACCAAGTCACCCGCGCGCCGCACACCCGCCGTATCAAATTTAGGCTGCAAGACTCACATCTTTTGCCGAAAAAGGCCGCCCCGTCAATTTATGAGATATGAATCACTTATCACAAGTTCAAAGGCAAAGTATAAATCTTTTGTTAGTCTAGACAAGATATGTGTGTTCAATAAACAACTTTCATACTTCACCTTGTACAAACCTGCCAAATAATATTATGCTGCTAAGATTTTACGGCATGAGATTATACCAAATTTTACATGGACGCTGATCTTTTCATTAATTTGTTTGCAACACTTTTTAGAAAAATTAAAAGAAAAGATTTTAATGAAAATTTTTTAGAATATCAAGATTTAAAAATGAAAATAAAAGATAAAAAGATCTTGGCAATGCTCTTCAACTCTGTAAAAATTATGGGCTCATGATAAAGTTTCAAACATTTTGTTTCCCAAGAAATTTTCTAGAAAATATTAACCCCTAAATTAAAAAAAAAAGTGGTATATGAGTGTAAAAGGAAAAGAGCCTGCGCAGTTTTAAGCTGAAATTCACACTCTACACTCAACTCTGCACCCTCTTACATAACAACAAATTGCATCTAAAAATTCTGTCAATTTTAAGTCTGGAGTCATTTAATTCTTGGAATATTAATTAAATAATCCCTATTTAAATTTGGAATCTTCCTGATATTTAAAATTCCTATATCAAATGTTATATCCAAGAGATTCTCTATTCGAAATTAAATTTTAAATTAAGCAAGGATTGAATTTTTTTTCTAATTATTGC